CCCACAAACTGGAAGATATGCAAGCGAAAAGCAACAAGTTAGCAGAAAAAGCATCAAAGATAGGACTTCAGGTGAACATAGAGAAAACAGAGGTGATGAAAACTCCTGGGCAACACCATCAACAGCAACAACAACAACTGACAACAATCAACATAAATGGAAGGAACCTGAAAGAAACAACCTCCTTTACCTACCTTGGAAGCATCGTTTCAACTACAGGCGGACGGAACTGACGAGGATATCAAAGCAAGGATCGGAAAAGCAAGACAAGCTTTCACTACTCTCAAGTCTGTGTGGAGGTCAACAGCACTACTCAGCATCAAAAATAAGATCCGGATTTTCAACTCCAATGTGAAGTCAGTCAGTGCTACTATACGGATCAGAGACTTGCACTGCGCGTCATAAAGAGCATCTCAAACAAACTACAGACCTTCATTAACAGTTGTCTTCGCTCAATAATCAAGATCAGATGGCCAGCCAGAAAAGATCAGCAACGGAGATCTCTGGTAATGAGCGAACCAACACAGCAGGAACCGATTGTGAAACAAATAGACAGGAAGAAATGGAGGTAGGTGGATTGGCCATATTCTGAGGAAACCATCAAGTGACATCACTAGACAAGCCATTGCTCGAGTGGAACCCGAAAGGGAAGCGGCGGCGAGTTGGTCGTCAGTGCAAGGGTGACATGGAGGAAGTCATGTGAAGAGGAGATGAAAACGTGTGGGCAGACATGGAGCTAGGTGAAGACTCTAGCAGAGAACCGAACGCAATGGAGACGCACGGCTGAAGCCCTATGCTCCTGTAGGAATTAAAGGATACAATAATAATAATAATAACAACAAAATAAGAACAAAATAGTTTAAGTGAACAATTATGGTTTCAATAAATTCTTCCTTCTTCAGGCTCTACAATTAATTATAAATCCATTCATTTAAGCATACACTAGAATAGCCAGCCAGTAAAGGCAAATTAGAAGCATATCAGAAGAAGTTGCATTGTGGAACAAGTATAAGATGGGATGGGATGGAACAATAGTCACTCAGTCTTTTAATATGCATGGTCAATGAGAACATGGTACAAAATGAGATGCAGTAATTTAATTTAATGATGTGTGTATGTATACATATAAATATGGTCAACAGAAAAATACAGGTTTCGAGAGTAAGTGTAATCAGGGTGTGTAACGCAATATGAATACTACAGAAAATAAACCGACGAATGGGGTGGACTAGACATAAGTTCAAGGTTGAAGATTAACGACAATAATAATGATGATTGTAAAATAATAGCAATGATGTGGTGTAAAATTACAAGCACTATTGGTGAATGATGGTCATATAGTAGTAATAATGAATATAATGAAGTGCAATGAACAGGATTTTTTAAATATGATAACAAGTTAGAAAAGCACTGCTTATACGTAAGCTAAAAGAAATCATAAGAAAGGTCATGAAATCATAAAGGTCGAAAATGAACGTTTGTCAATGAAACAAAGGAATAGAAGAAGAAAAGAAAAAATTCCGATAGGAATTTGAAGTGCTAATGTCTATGGAGGATTTGTTGGCCTTATTGTAGGCCAACGTAAACATAGAGGTTGAACATACCTTCTTCTGTAAACGAAGAGTTGGTCTTCTGATATTAATTGCAACCGCTTTAGCTACTGATAGAAGACGTACTCAAGCTCCTCTAGATAGATTACCAGGAACGCGGTAAATAAATGAGGACGCCTGGTCAAGTTTTATCTGGCGTCCAGTATCTACCAAGTGGGCTAAGACTGCACTATTTACGCATTTGGTTATCCCTTTACTCAACCGTACGTGGGCGGCGCATGGATAAAGCCCTCTCAGTAGGGCCAATGTAACTAGCTCCACATGAATTCATAGATACACACTGATGGGGCCATCTTTGGTAATTTATCCTTGTCTCACACACCCTGATTACACTCACCGTCGAAACGTGTACTTTTGTTGACTAACATTAAGTTAATTCATCTCATTTTATCTCATGTTCTCATTGACCATGCATATTAGAAAAACTAGCCGACTATTGTTCCATCCCATTCCATCTTATACTTGTTCCACAATACACTTTCTGATATGATTCTAATTTGCCTTTACTGACTGTCTGTTGTATGATTAAATGAATGGATTGATAATTTTAGAGCCTGAAGAAGGAAGAATTTATTGAAACCACAATTGTTCGCTCTAACTATTTTATTTTGAATAAATTATGGGAATATTCAATTAACATGACAATAAAGCTTAGTGTAAATTACAAAGGTTGACACACATAATAAGGACAGTGATAATGGAGTGTAGTAAACTAGTAGGTGAAAAGGAATAAGGAAGGCATAATATGACATGAAAATATGAGACGATTATGTCCTTGATGACCTTATAGTAGGCCGGGGTAAACAAAGAGTATGAATGTGCTTCTTGTGCACACATAGGAGACATCTTTTCTTATTAGTCATCATGGCTTCACTTATAGCTTGGAGACGTAGTTGTGTGCCTATAGGCAGATTGTTTGCTACTCGATATACAACCACAAAATGAATGACTCATCTATTTTGATGTGGTATACCCTATCCACTGGATGAGATAAAATGGCACTATTTATTTTGGTTACTCTTTTTCCCAAGTCAAACAAGAACATGTTCACACCAGTGAGTAAAGATAAATTCCTCTGAATTCAACGTACAAAAGTAACCCTACATGGATTTATAACTGTTGAGCCTGAAGAAGAAGGAGTTATTGAAAACAATTGTTCACTCGAATTCATCATTTTCTGATTACACTATTACTATTCTCACTCTGAATTGTTCCCACTTGTCATTCTAAACCCAGAATTATTAATTTTTTATTTTTACAATATTGAATTCTATCTTATCAAATTTCACACCATGTTATGTAACATTTTATATTCGCCTACTAATCCTATAATTATGCACCCATTTCCAAAATCTATACACCTTATGTATTATTCCATATATGACATTGATTGTTTTGCTACTTGACATTTAACTATGATTATAATCACAAATGTTTTAATTGCATTTCACACTACAACTATTATTACTTCATGTATTCACTCCTTTGATATAATTCCTTCACCGGATATAATTTCTTATAAAATAAACCATATATATATACGATTGTACAGCTTGATAATAAATTCGTTGAATCACCACTTGTTTTGATTTTCTTCTATGTTACAATGGGAATTTTCTGTGGAGATCGGCTGTTGCTCTAGCAACTTGATTTTTCGTGCTCGCTTGGTCGAGAACATCTCCCAATATGACTAAGTAAAGGTGTAGCAAAAACCATCAACAGTTCGATATTAGACCATCTGGTCCAAAGCCACTGGCTGGAAAGCCAGCCAACTTTGAAGAAACCTTCTCTATCATCATCATCTACCGGGTGCCAAATAAATTGCCAAAATCATCATCGAAGCACCACATGCTCCAAACAGCACAGGCTATTGTGCAATTCGCCTCAAACAACCAGTGCTCTGTGTTCAAAACTGCCCTGGCTGGCCTTAAGTAAAGACTATAAATTCATGAGCTTGTAATATTATGTTTCTTAATTTTTCTGACATTCAGGTGTAATCTATCAATATTATTGATTTGGTGTTATTTAGAAAGCATTAATGTTGTTCATAACATCAATTCATTCATTCACTTTAATGTATATATAACTGTAGAGCCTGATGATGAAGTTGTCAGAAACAGCATTCTTTGTTCCTTCATTGTTGATCAGACATATTTTTGCACCCACGAAATATATGAGGATCAATTAAGCGTTGCCGGAAGTGAAACAAGAGAAACTAACTTATCTGCCGTCAGTATCTGCTCCGTAGTTGCCACTGCTTCAAATGTAGAAAGTAGAGCGGAACCGACAGAAGTGGACCGTAAATAGAGTTTATCACAAATGGGCTTTAAGACCTAAATAAATAATCCGTTATTTAAATGTGTGTTAGAGTCCTCCACTTCGAAAAATATGGCGCCTATTCTTTTCTAGACATAGTTTTGTTCGCAGAACCAAGTCAACTGGCAGCATTAAATCTACATGTTAAATGAAATGAGGATTTTCTGTCCGCAACTTAGTCTCTTGTCTAGTGTTTACTAACAGAGCAAACAAAGAAAAAGTAACAGTAGGCGGAGAAAATGATGGAGAGAAGGTCGAGTGCAAGGAACACAATGTATGTTTTATCATTTTAGCGATAGAAGCTGCAAGATATACCTATCGCCTATAAATTCATCTTCTTTAATAATCATCATTCACGAGCTGCTGACAAAGTGTATGGCGAGTTAAAATGCAGTGGTGCATCGCTGCAACACCATCCGAATTTTACCCATACACTAGGTTTCTCTACGTATACCAAGCTCTGGCTTAAGTTTGTTCTATATAACTGTAGAGCCTGATGAAGACCAGGTTATCGAAAAGATGTGAATATTCCTTGTTTAGAGTAATCACACTTTTTTTAAAATATAAAATACAACCCCACACCAATTCACACACGCATAAAAAGAAAAGACATTGGATATGTGAATGTATTCTAAAAATTTTATTTAAATCTGTTAACAAGTGAATGAGGTAAAAATATAGGCGTTCCACAATATGCGGACGCACACAGGGGCAGGGCAATATGAAAAAATGAATAAAACCAATAACAATAATAATAATACCATATATAAACATGTATGTATAAATGCTATAATAATAATAATAATAATAATAATAATAATAATAATAATAATAATAATAATAATAGTAATAATAATGGCAAATCTTTAACAAAAACAGATTGATGAAACACCGAGATGATGGACAAACACCGGAACACATAAAGGCGAAGTGGGGGGAGAGGGGAAAGTGGCATATAAATATATAATATTGTATATATATCAAAGTGTGGATGAAACAATCAAAATAATGTGAAGAAGTTCAAGAAAGTTGTTATATAATTTGTTTCTCTTCGCTATCTTCTCCTTCTCCGAGTTATTTGTAAAGAAATTTCACGCGTACAAGATACTTCTGCTTTACCTGTGACACATCATACACAATATACTCATTATAGCATAGAGTGGTATTTGGCACCTTCGATTCAATAGGCTTCCCGATTGGATAAACAACACCATCTTTATTGGTGTAAAATGTTGACGGATCAGGTGTAACAGATCCAATGCCTAGGGGAGGGAAACAAAAATACATACAAACACGCAAATGGAATATTAAGGCATCAACAACAAAAACAGCAATGCTAATGAAAAAGAGAACCAGACTTCAGGTGTTAGTCTACAGGGATCTTGATTGGATTCAGACTAGAGATCACGAATTGATGTAAATTGGGAAGACCCTGGAAACCGAGAATACTCGACAGCTGATTCATTCCTGTTTCGGATTCTTCATCAGGAGTCGAACCTAGGACTGTTAGGTAAGGTTTCTAACCTCCTTAATGGTCAACAAACTCGCCTTGCAATTGGAAGATCCTGAGGGTTTGATCTCTCTATTGGGGTGAAGGATGCCTACTATTGGGGAAGAGTCCCAAACAAAGATGGAATAGTTGTCCAGTACCTTCCTGGTTTCCAATAGTTCTTTCACCGAGGTCATTTGGTCATTAAACTAGAGTGCACACTAAGGCTTTCTTCATTTCTTGTTTTCTGAGTGGGACTTGTCCTATTCAAGTAGGTAGCTACCTGGGGTTCTAGTGAGAAGTCGTGACCAGTAGGGTGCAGCAGGTTGGGTGTGAGGACAAATACTCGCCAAAGACATTGGCTAGTGGTCGTGCTATGTCGTGAATTGACAGAAGTTAGAATTCATGCACTGGGTGGCCATCGGATCGGGTCCCAGTGGCTTAATGATCTACGAGCTCCCTAGACTTGTAACCAGAAGGTCCTAGGTTCGAACCCCGTAGTCTGCGTGCATACTGTGAAGAGTCCCAAGCTAGGACGGATGAAACAGCTGTCCAGTACTCTCTGACTGGTTTTCCAATGGTTCTCTAACTGATGTCAGCTCATGATGAAATCCTGTAATCAATCAAATCCCTTCAAACCAACACTTGAAATCCAGATTTTAAGTTTCTGTTGCGGTGTTGTTTTTGTACTAAGTGATGGTGCTCACCTCACATTCATCCATCCCTCTTTTCCACGCTTATTACCAGCCAGTGAACTAGGCTAGCCTTCTGATGGTGCGTCGGTGGCATAGCGGTAGAATGCTCGCCAGCCACGCAGGTGGTTCGAGGTTCGATCACCGGCCGCCAACGCACTTCTTCTTTACCTCACTAAACCAGTAATAAGACTGGCAAAGAGGGAAGGTTGGGCATGAGGCTGGCTAGCAACCCAATCCTGTAAAAATAATCACCACTGCTACAGAAACTTTAAGCCTCTAGCTTGAAGCCCTATGTTCCACTGGAAACGTAAAGGAATAAAAATACAATAAATTAAGCTAGGTTTAGGAGTGCGTAGACGGAGAGTTAGACACGCACGTGGCCGGCGAACGTTCTACCCTTATAAGTCATCAACGTAAGACAACTGGTAATCGAAATATAATTAGTCTTTCGGATTAACAGGTCCCCCCTCTGAATACCACGAGGAACGGTTAATTCAACTGCGATCTCTCTTCATACAAGAATGTTAAGGATGTTGAGTGTATCAATCATAAACAAGGTATGAATTATCCCTTCTATTCTACTATCCTGAGGTTTTGGGTAAGAGTTCATCCTCGATTGGTTTCACCAAGTGGGGATGTGAGGGGACAAGTACTCGCTAACAATACTAGATAGCGATGTTTCTACATGAAGAATCGACACAAGTTAGAATTCATGGACCATTGGATTCCAATGAAGTTGGTGAATGATGACTTCTTAACCTTGAAGCCAGAAGGCCATAGGTTCGACTCTTGGCGCATACTGCTGAAGAGTCCCAAACTAGGACGAAACAACTGACAAGTACTCCCTTATCTCTGACACTTCATGGCGAAATGAAAAAGCGTAAACAACTAACGAAATGGTACAACACAATATTTAATGTCAAAAAGGTCAATCACTAAGTGACATCATCAATTTCGATTGACTTTAAAAGACAACGCCAATATAAAGTGTACTCTGTTTTGCTGTCATGAATCCGTTGATGGCTTCTGAGTAGTACTTATAACTGCAAAATTTATATGGGTTTCTCTCTTCTATGACAAAATTATGTGCATTGTATCCATCCAGTCTTCTTGAAGAAGAATCAGCCATGACTTGATATCACAATGCCAAATGTGATACAACTAGGAATCTCCGAAAGCACAGCAAACAGCTTGAAGACTGAGAGGATGCGATTTACTGGTCTAAGGACTAGACTTTCAGCCAATTAATCCCGGGTTCGGGTGCCGCTCCACCTTCATTCATCCTCAGCAACTTCGTAGTACCATCAGCCCACACACGAAACAAGTAGGATTCATGTCTTCTTATATGTGCGTCGGTGGCATAGCTGTAGAGTGCTCGCCGACCACGCCTCATGTGATCCGAGGTTCAATCCCCGGCCGCCAACGCACTACTTTATCTCGTTAAGCCAGTAACAAGCCCGGTAAAGAGGGCAGGTTGGGCATGAGGCTGGTTAGCAGCCCCATCCTGTAAAAATAATCACCACTGCTGTAGAAACTTCAAGCCTCTAGCTTGAAGGTGCCCTATGTTCCACTGGAAACGTAAAGAAATTTTAAAAAACTTTGTATACAGAAAGCCCATTCTGAATAGCTGGGCTTAAACATACAAACTGAGAGTTTTATAAGGCTCAACCCCAGCCCCCCAAAAACTTTGGGCTTCCTCTTCAAATATTCTCATGTCGCCATGCCCTTGACATGTAAATCCTATTCACTGCACCTTCATCACGCGGTGGGTGTGTTCAGCACTAAAGTGAAATAAAGAATCGGAACATTTGGAGTCTACGAAAGGAATGGTGGACATCTATCGATCCACATCTACCTAGAAGAGCTACAACACCTTCACTCCAAATCTACAGTGTACATGGGCCTCAGAATTCGAACGGATCAAATAGCGTATGCACTTGTTTGGGTCACCGGGAAAACTATGGAAATGTAGCTCTCAATGCCTTGTGGAATCAGAATCAAAGTTAAAGGCTTAAGGGGATGGCTCGTAAGACAACCACCACCACCACCACCTGACTCGGTCTGGATGTCGGGGAAGTATCCCAGCCCCTATACACAAACTATGAGATTTTGTGTGGCGCATCTATTGGTGTCCCTAATGTACCAAGTTTATGCTTTAATTAATAATAATAATCATAATAATCATAATCATAATAATCGTAATAATAATAATAATAATAATAATAATAGCAATAACAACTTACCTTTACGACTATGATAATTCGGTGGCAGCGCAGTGTCATCACTACGTAGACATTCATTCATATCGCCTAGTGCCACTTCACACAGTAATAATAAACCTTCAGGTTGTACTTGCGTGGCAAAACAATAGTTAGCTGATTTACTAACTATATCAGCGAAATAAATACCCTTGCCAAACATATAACCAGTCGATGGAGCTTCAGGCGGTGCAATACGTAATCCTTGAGATCTAAAAAGAGACAATAAATAGTGTAATAAGATAACAATTATACAATTATTAATATTACTAATAACAATTAATAAGTAAAACTTATTACCATGGTAGATTCAGAGTGACGACCATCTCCTTTTGTACACAGAGACCACTGGGTTTATAAACTCTAATTGCATAAGTCTCCTCCGCAATAATTGCAAGCATCTTCCTCTTTCTTCGTCTGCTTACTGACAACAGTGAATGACTTGAGGGTGTCGATATCATACCCGTAATCTACAAGATGTGTTGTTATTGAGGTTTTTGGCACTTTGCATTCAGCTGTTTTCAACTATTTTGGCAAATGCTCCATCATGCGAGTAGATAATCACTCGCCTTTCTGTACGACCTGTGGTATTTGCTTCCACAAACACTCAATCTCTTTTCAGCATTATTGTTGTTATTATAACTATTACCGTTAAGAAAAAGGCCCAAACAGCGAAGAAAATTTTCTTTTCGACGATTCATTTTCATCAGCTGTACAATCGTAATTATAATTAACAAAGAAATCTTTAGACCAATCAGATACTGGCAAATTTTGTCCTTGGAAAGTTGTATTACATAATGTAAGGTGTAACCTAGATGGGATGACTAATTGTAAGTTAGAAAGGAGACAGAAGTTGGCATGACGTAATAAGTGTGAGATAATGAATAATCAATAAGCTCGTGTAAAATGGACAGGAACTAGTGGAAAGGCTATAAAGTGTTTTTGTATAAAATCTGTATGAAAACGCATGTTATGTTATATTAATAAACAGTAATAGAGTTGTAATAAAATGTGGATGATGGGGACAATAATGATAATAAAAGTATTATTAAAATAAAATAATAATAGTAATAATAGTGAACTTACATAATAAAGGAAAGAAGCAAAATTGTGGTAAGAACTTCACTCTGGCCATGGTAGGGCAAGATAATGTATGTATCGCTTTTGGATGCAGAGGTCCGGTTTCAGATCTCCAATAGCTAATGCTTCAGCTATGTACAGATGGCGAATCCGAAGTCCCTTTGTACGAGTACTATTAATATTACGCAGTTCGTAATTCTTAACATATTTAAGTTCTTTCTCTAATGACTAATTGTTTATCCAAGTGATGTAATTGAAGCGCAATGCATTTCATCTTAATTTCAATCTCTCATACTCCCTTCCCCCACTTATATATTTGAACATGACCTGGAAAACATTCACACCTGTCTGTCTGTATGACTAATTCAATGTAGTTTGTTTACTTATCAGTCTTATATCTACCAATGTAATTTCAACAGTGTACATATATCCGTGTATGTAGAGTATTCAGCTGAAGAGGAGTTCTACCGAAATTTGATGAATCCATCATTAAATCCTGCTTTATTAACCAAATTTGTTGCTTGTTTTAAATTCGTATCGGGAAATAAATATTTTCAATGACAAGTCAGTCGGTGCTTTTATATATTTCCGAGACAGAGTGCAAGCGTCACAAAAAGTTTTTCCAAAAGGTTACTGCTACTACTGTACGCCTCCTCCATCGACAATTGCCTTCACTTCATCATAAAGATAAGCAACAAGGAAGCTATCAACACAGGAAATGCAGATGAATTGGATATAGACAGGAAGAAACACACCAGACATACCTTCGACTAGAGGCCAAATTGGAGACTACAAGTTGGGCGTCACTCAGAGAATAAGATGGAAGAGGTTTTGTGGAGAAAGAGGAGAGATAAGAGCCTACCGGTGTGGTGAGAGCTGTCTGCAAGACAAAGTTGTAGACAACAATTTATGTCAATGTTTACGTCCTAAATCAAGATCATGAGAAAAACAAGAACAAGGCTTAACCTTGAGGAACTCAACGACCAATCACAGCAGACTCAGAGTGGGCGGATACGACTAGCAGAATTATCAATGGACTGTCTAAGAAACGGCAACAAAGAGATGACAGAATAACCTTCAGCAGGAAAACAACCAATCAGAAGAGGCTGTTTCTCCACTGCTAACAATAACGCTAATAATAATGTACATAAAAATCTATAAATATCTGTTGATTTTCCTTAATAAACGATCTGTTGCCTGGTCCTTGTCTTCTGTTGTCACATAAGAAGCAAAAGTGGGTTGCTTGCATAAAAAAATAAAAATTACAATAACACCACCACAACCATACCACACAGTATAACTTACAATATACCCATCCAATTGGTTTGACGAGAACCATGCCATAGAAGCTGTTTATTATGTTGAGCAATTTTACACTTTGCATAACGATCTTCTTCACCATCTCGCTGAACTTCAAAAATATCTAATACTTGCAGGGTGTAGTGTGTATGCGTAGACCCATGGGTTTCACGAACATAATCAAGAATACGTTTATAGTCTTCACAATTACTATCCAATGGCTAGAACAGGAGAGGATGGTGGGGAGGGGGGGCAGTGAAATGGACAAAATTAGGATGACAAATGAGTAATAAACATTTTAGAAAAACAAATATACCAACTAACTACTATTAGGAGACAGAAAGTAAATCTAGTGACCACATAGTTGGGCATTAAACCAGACAATGAAGACTTGAACGCATAATACTCTGTCCCAACCGATAGCCGATACTTTGACACGCGATGGTGGCCAGGCTTGCAGGCCAGACCACAATGACCCAAAGATCTACACTGGTTAGAACTATTGTTCCTCCTGGTCCTACCATGCCAGGAAGGTTGTTAGGATAGTGATTAGACTAAAAGCAGTAACCGGCATTCTGTAAGAATTGCTTTTTACACTATGCTGGGGGTCTGTTGGCGAAGTCGTACTGCTGGGGAACAGGGATGCAACAGCAGTAGTAAGGTGTTTCCCTCAGATGACCAGCATGCCAGCCAGCTATGCTATCTCTCCACTTTGGAGGGAGAGGGTTAGAAAGGTTCGGCCCTAACAATTGTACATCCCGACTTACCTCATCTATGGTGGTCCGTAACCGGCGGTAAGTTTACTAATACAGAATCAATCCAAGAAACCAGTTCATACAGACCGAGTGTGACTGGCTTCAAATAGTTGTCCCCTGGGCTCTGCGGTCACGAAACACTAACACTCTTTCTGTTTCAGGCACCCGAAGAATCAATCAACTTCCACGGTGTGGGCAACCGGGAAATAACAACCGCCCACACACTTCTCAAAAAGCCAGATTGACGCCAAACGTTTTGATCTGACTAGCCCTGACTCTTTTCCGACATAAACCCTAATGTTAGCTAACATTGCTCATCGAGAAAGGCGATGGGGATTTAACATGCGCGCAATCTGCCTTAGCCATCTATCTCAATATAAGTAGCTTCACACAACTTCACATTGATTGACTCACCCTCCTTGACTAACAGTCTCTATGCCTAACCTGAATATTATTCACCCTATGATACCGCCAGCTAACATGGGAGATAGAACGCCGACACCTATGATCAAAGACAGCTAACCAACCTTTTCTTATCATCCACTTCAATGGTCATGCCTCACAGTGAATTGCTGTGCAGAACACACGCGCCTTTGAATCAATCGATAGCCGGATCCATAATGGGATCGCGTCAGTCAGTGCATTAGGCCTGAGGCAACTTTCTAATTAGGTGAAGCGGTCAACAAGGTCTCTTTAAGCTAGGAATTGGTGCGGCCAAGTCTTAAGTTCGACTGCAACAAGTCATATGTGCCAAATAACCAAAGATTTCTGCTCAGAAGTGCACAGAAGGAGGTTCAGTGTTTTATTACAGTCTTTACACCTAGGAGGACAATAACATCCGCCCACTACGACAACAACAACACATACAGCACCATAAGCCCCAACGGGTTGATCTCTGACGAAATCTCAGGACGGCTGGCTATCGACCAAAGGGCGGGTGTACTGCTCAGCAGTCCGCTCCGTCCTCCTTTGTGTCTGTGAAACCTGGCCATCGGAAGTGGAAGACATGAAACGCCTAGCCATTTGTCTTTGATCATAGGTGCCTGCGTTCTATCTCCCATGTCAGGTGTTGGTATGATGGGGTGAGCAATATTGAGGTTAGGCATTGGTCGAGTGAGTGCTAGGTAAGGAGGGGAAATGAATAGATGAGGCCGTGAAATTACATCGACTGAGATGGTTAGGACATGTGTTACGCACACCTGCATAGCCATCGCCTTCCTCGACGAATGGGCAATGTTAGCTGACGTAGGGTCAGGCTGGAAAAGAGCTAGTGGCGGTCAAACCAAAACATTGCATAACCAGTCAATGAAATCTACAACACTTAGTCTAGGCCATGTAGGAAGTTGTAAACTTCTTGGTTGGGGTCCTCGGGACGGTAAAAACCAATGACGGCCGGAGACAATCGGTGATATGGCTCAAAACTCATCGTTCTCAATGGCTGGCGTAGGTGCATCCACTCCTTGTGACTTATAATACGCAACAAAACTATATTGTTCTTCGTTATTACTTAAACTGCCGCGCATTGGTGCAAAGTTCTATGTCGAAAACAGACAGACAGACAAACAGACAGACACAGGGATAGACAGAGAGAGGAGCAATGAAATAATCGATATAAATAAACTCACCTCCAATTTTGTATGCAATTTTTCATAATGTTCATCCAATGGATTTTTCTTGGAATTACTCTTACTTGATGATAATATTTTATAGGCCAGTTCAATTTCAAGTAAATCTTCTAGCATGTGTATTTTTGTACGAATCAACTTTTTATTATCCAACAGAGGTGGTGCTTTCATACCAAAATCATGTGGAATCAGTGTATAGAAGCGTGTGGATTCACTTAACACTTGAGTTTTATTCAATGAGGCATCAGCATTATTGTTGTTATTCTTTGTTGACGATGACTTACTACTACTTTTACTGACAAGTTGAGACAGGGAATTCAGCACCTCGTAAGCTTCACGGATTTGATTTCGAGAGAGTTTGCCTAGTGGCATTTTTCTTAAATCAAGCTTTTAAAAAAATTAAATTAAATTAAAATAAAATAAAAATCAATAAATTGATAGTTTAATAATAATTCCATATTATTAATGTTAATTTGACACAAGTTAGAATTCATGGATCATTTGGGGGTCGGTGGGGGCGAGGAGGGGCCACTGGTTGAATATAATGGAATACGGTCTACGAACTCGCCACACACCCCATCGGAAGGTCCTGGACCCGAACCTACTGCCTACTGCTGAAGAGGTCTAAGTGCTAGGAGGACGAAACAACTGTCCAGTACTCACTCCTTGTTGGTTTTCCAAAGATAATCTTCTAAATGATATCACCTCGTGATCGATCCTGTAATTTCATATCAATAAATCAAAGTTTCGAACACAACTCTTGTTATTATTATTATTCCAGTATTGGTCTGAAGGGATTTGATTGATTGATGTTTCGTCCTAGTTTGGGACTCTTCATCGGTACGCATCCGTTCAATCTAGGACTAAACAACTGTTTAGTACTCCTTGAATGGTTTTCCAATGGTTCTCTAAATTGTGATGTCAGATCATGATGAAATCCTGTAACCAATCAATCAAATCCTTACAAACCAATACTTGAATATCAATGAGATGCTCACTGGCGACTGGCCCTATTCAGGTAGGTAGTTACCTGGGGTTCTAGTGCGAAGTCATGACCAGTAGGGCCTCACGCCCGAACTGAGGACAAATACTAGCCGAAGACATTGGCTAGCGGTTGCGCTATGTCATGAATTGACGGAAGTTAGAGTTCATGGGCTGGCCGGTGATTGGATCGGGTCCCATTGGCTGCTTAATGGTCTACGAGCTAGCTCGCCTTCTAACCAGAAGGTTCTGGGTTCGAACCTTGGCGGTAGTTGCGGAATGATGAAGAGTCCCAAACCAGGACGAAACAGCTTTCCAGTAGTATCTGACTGGTTTTTCCAATGGTTCTCTAACCAATGTCAGCTCATGATGAAATCCTGTAACCAATCTTGTTATTATTGTTATTTATAATCGTATCATTGGTGACTTTACAAATTTCAAAACTTGAGTTTTATAGTACTCATGCTTTTTTCTCATTTGTCGTGACGGTTGTAGCATTTTCCAGATGTCCGCGGAAGGTGATGAATCAGTTGATTTGATAAATAAAGCTTCCGTTATCTATCGCTCCCTTCACTCTGTTACAATCAGATTTGAAGACTGTCACCTTGACCCGTCCTACTTTATTAAGGCTGTGTGTTAACTCCCGACCGATAGCTGTTACCTTGACGTGGTGGTCAGGCTTGAATATCGCAATGACCCAACAAGCTACACTGGCTGCAACTATTGTTCCTACAGGTCCTACCATACCAGGAAGATTGTTAGGATAGCGATTAGACTAAAAGCAGTTACCGACATTGTGTAAGAATTGCTTTTTACACTATGCTAGGGGGTCTGTGGGCGAAGTCGTACTGCTGGGGAACAGGGATGTAACAGCAGTACTGAGGTGTTTCCCTCAGATGACCAGCATGCCAGCCAGCTATGCTGTCTCTCCACTCTGGAGAGAGGGGGTTAGAAAAAGTCGACCCCAACTATTGTACATCCTGACTTACCCCACCTACGGTGGTCCGTAACCAGCGGTGAATTTACTAATTCGGAACCAATCGAAGAAACTAGTCAGTCAGTGTGTTGACTGCATGTAATGCTATAGCTGACTGTTCCTTCTTACCTTATTACGCTCTCCTAGTCTAGATCCCACGAAGTTTTTATGCTCCGCTTCGCCAGTCTGAATGGCTTCACCCCTTTAAAATAGCATCACTTGTTTCTAAGTGAGTTTCTTAATTTTGAATGCCACTTTCATTCCTGCTTTGCTAAGAATCTTAGGCAAGGATTTCAGAAGTTCCTTCTGTTTGTATTGCAGTGATATTAACGTTTTAAATTCTCATTTTAATAGAATCCGTTGGCAATGTAGTGGCTCTGTATCGCAAACACTGGACCAATGGATACCGATCCAGTGGCTAAATGGTGAATGGCTTTATTCTCATTTCTTTTTGTACTAACTGCCACTCCCTATCCTCCCCGCCTTCGTACCAGGAAATAGACCTAACTACCACCTGAGGTTTTTTAACCATTCACAATTATGTGTCTTCGGATTGCAAAATATACTACTCGTAAACTTTGTTTTCTTTTTAGAAAAGCTGGCTTCTAAAAACTGAATATGTTTGAAGGAGACACAATGAAGAAATATTATTATTATTTTTATAAGGCATGGGATTGGCTTGGTGCTTTAAGTCAGATGACATTGGGTTGCATCGTCACACGATCTACTCTACCAGTTTACTATTTTATTTTGAAGATGAACGGATGGAAAAAGAATATCTCATATGCAATTTAATTCTGCTAAGAATTCTGTAAACACACATTGTGTGAAAACAACACTATCCGGAATAAAGCTATTATTGATTGATTGAATGAATGCATGTGAGTCGGTGGCACAGTGGTTAGGACTCTCGCCGACCATGCATATGGTCCGGGGTTCGATCCCCTGCCGACGCACACCCGATATCTACGATTGGCCTGGAAAATTTGGGCTACCGATATCACACATGCTGAAAATTCCATACCTGTACCAAAAAAATACGGTGTGGAATCATCAAGCTGTAATCAAAAATCAAAAAAATGAACTTACTTCAAATTCTGCCATAGCCTTCTCCATAGATTTTATATCACAAATAAACTTTAAAAGTGACTGAACAGATGGATGCAATTTTGATGGAATTTCACTAACGCTTTGAATTTCTTTAATATCTGATGACTATAAGAAATTAACACACAATAATAATAATAATAATAATAATAATAATAATAATAATAATAGTGATAATAATAATAATGTGAATAGAAATATAATTAAAATATTTAAAAGACAAATTTCGCAAGATGAAACCGTCATTTCGTAGTTTCGTTAAAACCGCTTTATACAACTAACATGGTTAACCATAATAAAATAAAGATCATGACAATTACTCAGTTAAATAAAAAAACACAAAAGTACATACTGATGACCAATCATCAGATTGAAATAGGTCAAGTAGTCAGTTCATGGTAGGCGAAGGTTGAAGTCTATTGTGTTGTTTGTGTACACATAGTTTAGGCTGTATGTGATTAATCCCCCAAAGTGCTTCCATCACCTTCAATAACCAACCTTCAATTAGAGTTATATGATGAAATAATTGTGAAACAGTCATTAATTAATATTGGATTTCGTGACCTGACATAAATAAGTGTTTTGCAATGGATAATGATGGATTTCTATTCAGATTACTCGCATTGGGATTTTCTATATGATTTAGTAACCATTTTGGAACACGTTCCTTTCGACGACATTGGAACATTCTATTGGTTCTACCTATGTAGGTGTCACCGTAGCTGCAGGTGGACTTGTAGATACAGTTTTAAGTAGTGTCCACAGAATTTCGTCCTTTAATCGTAGGTAAAGGGGATCGAAAATGTTCTAGATGTGAGGGTAAGAGATGTGGCGTAGAATGTGCGTTTGATATGATTGGTCATCAGTATGTACTTTTGTTTTTTAATATAACTGAGTAATTGTCATGAACTTTATTTTATTATTGTTAACCACGTTAGTTGTAAAGCAACTACGAAATGACGCTATCATCTCGCGAAATTTGTCTTCTAAATGCCTCATTCAAATTTATCAAAGGGGACTAATTGTTTTAATAATTAAAATAAAAAATATACAAGCAAATAAATTATTTAATGAATTTGGAAATTACGTTTATGTTATCGACAAAAAACATGACACTAGTTACAACTAAGTAGAGCCTCCTTCAGTAAAGACCTGATACGACCGAGAGTGGATAGATTCCGATCTTCCTCTCTCTCTCATGTGGCCATGCATTCACACAGCCACTGCCAAGTGTAATTCCTATGCATTGACCCCTCACGCGGTAGCAAGTGTGTTGCTCACAAAAGTGAAAGAAGGGTGACTGATTACAAACGTCACGCATTTACACCCGGACTGATGGGCATCCCACAGGTCCATATACAGGGGTTACAAAAAAACCCTGATTTCAGACTTTTGGACTCCCGAATTTGAAAGGATCAAATGGTGTATGGACGTGTTTTGGTGGCGAGAAACCATGAGAATGCAGTTCCCAACACTGCTTTTCTGCCTTGTGGACCGAGCTCCAAATCGAAACCTCGGAGGAGGGATGATCCCTTAAGACAACTACCTGCTTCGGCCAAGGCTTCCAGGCAGTATCTCAGCCCTCTTGGTGTCAACAGCGTAAAAAGTTTGTGTTTTAATAAAGATAAAGATATCCAGTGAAGGTGGAGAGAAACACAACAATACAATGAAACAAACGAGTATTTATATGTGAGTGGAGGATAAGAGAAAGAGATACGGAGAATTAGATAAAATTGAAAATTGGGTGACTGATAGATCCATATTTGCATTCTTTTGATCAATATTGACCTCAGAGTCATTGAGAGTTTACAATCTGCTGATATCTAATATCATAAGATGGAAATGTGGCTTGCAGGATAAAGTTAGCAAGTCCCTGTCTCGAACAGCTGTAACTGGATAGCGACCACATAAGAAATGCCTCTCATAGCCTCCCTAGTGTATGAAAGATCTTCGATTATACGCTAGTTGAGTACTTCGTGTAATGTGTTTGGCCCTTTGTTTGGTGCAGACTGAATCCCATCAGTGAAGTTTGCAATGTGACCCCCATAATACTAGGTGGTTCACCATCATGGCCCACTTTGAGTTGTTGATATTAGATGGTTGGAGGCCGTCAGAAGGAAGCCCCGATTGACGCACTGAGGTTTCGTGCTACTTGGCACTCACCAGTCACCAAGACGTATCTGAAACCTTGAAGCGACTTATGTCCCTTCTGAGATTCAAACCCGTGTCACCCAGTGCTGAAGTCACAGACATTACCAGTGAGTTTTCTGGGTTCGCCACTGACCTCCTGTAGGGCTGTATTGAATACAGAAGGGATGTAAGTTCCTTCAAGGTTGCAGATACGTCTTGCTGACTGATGAGTGCCAACTAGCACAGAACCTAGGTGGAAAGCAAAATGCGAATTGCCTCCAGCCATCTAGTATCAACAATTCAAAGTGGACCATGATGGTCAGCTACCTAGTGGTATGGTGGCTCGGGGTTCGAGCCCCGGCCACCGACACACTCCTTCACCTCGTTAAGCCAGTAATAATACTGGTAAAGAGGGAAGATTTGGCATGAAGCTAGCAACCCCATCCAGTAAAAATAAACACCACTGCTACCGAAACTTCAAGCCTCTAGTCTGAAGCCCTATGTTCCACTGGTAACGTAAATGAATAAACAAAAATGCTACATAGATGATGGGTCTTTAGTAGGCTTTTGACTAATCTCACAATGTGGATTTCGTCACCAACCTACATCAGGTTAAAGAGATCACTGAAAGGCCAGGGGGGCGCTGCACAGTTGTTTCGTCCTCCTTGTGTAGAGAGACTTTTCATCAGTGAATACCCACGACCCAACCCACCCCCGCACGGAGGATCAATGCCATAACCTTTTCATCGAAAGTAAACTAGGTCCCCACAATTAACGCATAACTTAAATATCAATCACCAGCTGCTTATTGACGATGGTTACTGCATAATGTCTTGAAGTCATACTAGGAGATCATGACCAATGGGGTCGTCGCCCGATGTCACGACGAAATAGATGCTCATCGAAGGTATTGATCGAGAGTAGCCCTATATTACAGAATTGGCAAAGTTAGAATTCAGGGGTCCATTAAATTCCAGCCCAAATGGTTGAATGGTCATCATCGAATTCGGCCTCGTAACAACCCGAGAGTCCAGGGTTCGACTTCTGGTTGGGTACTGACGAAGAGTTCGAAACCAGTACGAAACAGCTGACCAGTATCCACTGGTTTTCAATCATCTGTAGCTGATGTTGATTCGTGACGAAGAATACATTGAAGTTATTGCAATTTTCCTCTATTGTACTTACGCAGATTTCGGAGTACGAGTTCCTAGTTTCTAGTAATATAAGTGCGGCAACTACTTTGCAGGTCAAACAGAAAACAGAACACTAGACAAAAAGTAAATCATCCGATTAGTGATTGGAACTTTCTTCCTTGTCGCACTAACCAATTAATAAAGTGGTTAGACAAGGTCAAACTAAAAGGACACCAACGCCAATCGAACGACTGTACCAATGACATTTAAACGAATGATTGCGTAACAAGAATGAGATATTGAATTAAGTACTAAGGATGAATTCTGTTCATAATTTAGAGGGAAGATTTCATTCAGCAAAGATTCTTAAACCCTCATATTCCTAACCCCGAGGAGTGTGTACTGATTATATATCTTCGCCTTTTGAGAAATCTTGGAACACAGGTATAACTTACCAACATGTAACACTTATTGGCGTCTTATATTCTACTCCATCGATCGAGATATGATATATATATATATATATATATATATATATATCATGTATATGTCTGATTTCCCACAAACTGGAAGATATGCAAAGGAAAAGCAACAAGTTGGCAGAAGAAGCATCAAAAATAGGACTCCACTTCAGGTGAACATAGAGAAAACAGAGGTAATGAAGATTCCTGGCCAACACCGCCAACAGCAACAACTACAACAACAGACAACGATCAGCATAAATGGGAGGAACCTGAAAGAAACAACCTCTTTTACCTACCAACCTAAGAAGCATCGTTTCAACTACAGGCGGACAGAACTGATGAGGATGTCAAAGCGAGAATCGGGAAAGTAAGACAAGCTTTCACTACTCTCAAGTCTGTGTGGAGGTCAACAACACTCAGCATCAAAACGAAGATAAGATCCGGATTTTTAACTCCAATGTGAAGTCAGTCAGCGCCACTTACTATACGGATCAGAGACTTGCACTGCGCGTCATAAAGAGCATCTCAAACAAACTACAGACCTTCATCAACAGCTAGCTGTCTTCGCTCAATACTGAAGATCAGATGACCGACCAGAAAAGATCAGCAACAAAGAGGGATCTCTGGCAATGAGCGAACCAACACAGCAGGAACCGATTGTGAAACAAATAGGCAGGAAGAAATGGAGATGGATTGGCTGGTCATACTCTGAGGAAACCATCAAGTGACATCACTAGACAAGCCATTACTCGAGTGGAACACGAAAGGGAAGCGGCGAGTTGGTCGTCAGTGCAAGGGTGACTTGGAGGAGGTGATGTGAAGAGGAGATGAAAACGTGTGGGCAGACTTGGAGCCAGGTGAAGACTCTAGCAGAGAACTGAACGCAATGGAGACTCACGGCTGAAGCCCTATGTTCCTCTAGGAATTAAAGGAAACAATAATAATAAAATATAGGAAGTTGTATCAACCTTGATTATCTGATTGATGACGAAATAATCTCAGGAAGCATTCAAAGGTTTCGCGTGTGGCGCGTTTACGCCTTCTTCGATAACATACATTTGAATTATACCTCCTGGGTCAAGTGATATATAATGTAGTGAATCAGGTTGAAGTTAGGTGAGCACAAAAGGGAATTCAATAGATGAAGTTATCAAGCTTTATTGATTAAGACGGCTAGAAGATGAGATGTATATGGTCAAGCCATCGCCTTCCTCGACAGACATAAGAGAGGTAGGTAGTCAATTCAAAATTTGGCACTAATCCATGAAATATTTGACAGTTCGTTTGAGACAACCACGTAGGGAGGTGTAAAATACCTGGTTATGGGATCCACGGGGTGCTAAGGAACTAATGGATGGAGAGACATAATGGTGATATGGCTCAAAATTGTTCTCAAATGGTGCAGTCAATCAGACGCCGTGATTCAACTTGGTGAATTTAGATGATTTGGTTGAGAATAACTTTACAATACTTCCCAGATATATATTCACTAATCAAAATCTGCACTAGCATGTCTCTGTCTAATTATCCTTTCGTCGTACCACCCCCCATCTACTTTTGTATACCTACTTTGAAGCCTGGAACAAGTGGAACTGATGCACACTCCCTTGTACAATGTGTTCTACATTACGTTCACAATAAGTCACAACCATTAATTAGGGGATGGCGGATGGGGGATTATCAAAGGAGACAACACAAGGCAAATATAAACAAATAACTCAAAACTCACAGAATTATTATAATCTAATTCTAATTCATAAAATTTATACGGCATCTTTTTAAAATTGTCACGTTCATCCCAATGATTACCAGTTTTTTCAAGGTAAAGCTCTCTGAATGATGCACGTGCTGATGTAGCATTCGGAAAGGATTCAGTTTTTGTCCCGCCGATTGGTGTGCCTATACGACCCCATGCACGAAACACCCAACAGCGTTGGGATTTATCCGCTTGCAGGGCTTGAAGTCTAAAAAGACAAACACACACATAATAATGATAATAATAATAATAATAATAATAATAATAATAATAATCTACTATACGAGATATATACCACGCCAAGTTTTCATCTCTCGAGCCTAAAATTGTAGTGTGATATAGAAATGAGGACTATCTGAGGTGATCCACGGGGTGCTAAGCGGATTATTGAGAATAAGGTGTTAGTGAAGAAGATGAAAGCTGCTTACAGCTCAAAATGTGATTAAAACAGCTACACTCCTTAGCTCTATTGCTGGACCTCTAGTCTGTCTGAATTCAACATAGAACTTGACACCGAAGTGCAGCAGTTCCAGTTGCCACGTTCCAAATAGCACACAAACGTAGACAAGAAAATGAGCGATGAAGAGAATCAGTAGAGTTTTGACAAGTATAAGAGTGAAACAGAATGAGTAATGGTAGAAAGGAATATGAAAGATTACAGAGACTGAATACATCTGCGTAAGCCATTGACAACGATTTTCAACCATGTCACCTATTGTCTCCAGCCATTGATTCTTAGAGTCCCGAGGGGGGGCCCCAACCAGGAAGTCTGCATCTCCCTCCTTACCTGACTCAGTTGAACTGTCAAGGATTTCATGGATTGATGAGGCCATGTTTTTGTTTGGCCACCACTTACTCTTTTCCAACCTGCACCTATATCAGCTAGTAATGGCCGTCGGAGGAGGCGATGGTTAGGCATGCGCAGCATGTGACCTAGCCATCTCAATCTATATAACTTTATAGCCTCGTCGATTGATTTTCCCTAGACCTCTAGAATATTAAATGTTTGGAGGCGATCGGCGGGAAGCTTAATCCGACCTAGATTTCGTGCTTGTTGTTGGCACTTACCAGTCAGCAAGACGTATCTGCACAATTCAAGGGACTCATGTCTCTTGCGAGATTCGAAACCGCCTCACACATCCAGTGCTGCAGTCAGAGACTTTATCACTGAGCTATACGCGACCTGGCGATTGACCTCCCTTGACTAGTTACTAACTACTGTCCAATCAACGACATTACGACTGTCAACTCACAAACTTCATATGGTATGAATCGCCATACTAAGACTCAAATTCCCGCTTCAGATTTAATCATTACCCCTTGGAGCTGTAAGCTCATTGGCTGAAGCAGTCAATTTTCAGGCAGTAGGAGGTAACAGGTTCGAGTCCTCCTCCAATCACTTCAACCTGGTCAACTGGAAAACATTATCAGCTATTATACGAATAAGTTTGACTCTAAGCTTGGTACATATGAATCGCCTGATCTGGCGTTATTTTTTATCTTTATTTTATTTAGATAAAGCAATAAAACGACGTAATTTTTCTGATTCGTGTAATGTATTTGCGCGCACAACACATTTTGGAACAATCTGATCACACATTCACACACACACACTATTGTGTTAACAGGAAACCCACACATTCAAACAGATATTTGGACTTCCGACCATCCCATCCTATGTCAGTGAAAATAGGATTGGTGAAGTGTTTGACTAATAGAAGAAAGAAGGTTGACACAAACTCTGGTTGATAACAATTATCCAGACAAGTTCATCAGGAGATATAAAGTAGTCAGAACACCAAGACCCACTCTACAACTCGCTCCTAAGAAAGACGTGTACATCAAGCTACCATATATGGGGCAACATAGCAGCTTGATAACTAGACAAAGACTGAACGCTGATGTTAAAAAGACTTTTTATGCAGCTAATATCATAATAATTGAGAATGTGAAGCTCTTCGAACATGAGAAAAATGATGTCACATCCCACTGTATTTACCAATTTGAATGTACGTGTGGACACACATACATAGGGAGGACTCATTGATCTCTGCAAGTAGGGGCTGGCTTCACAGCATATTCCTAAATGGCTCCAGAAACAAATCGAATCTTCAGAACCCATTAATGGTGAGAACAGGAGACCTAGCTCCTCTATTGCGAAACATACTATAGAGACAGGACATAAAATTGACGTTAACATATCTTTTAAACCTATCTATAAAACGTGTTTGGGAGAGGGCGTATCCTAAAGTTTGTGGAAGCCCTAGCTGGCAATTAGAAAGTTTAAACCACCTTTATGCGATCAAAGCAACAATTCGTCATCACATTAAACCTTCCTTGGTAAACTTTGTTTTGATACTAGCCAGGGTAGATGTAGTATTACCTCTGCTATTTGGTTTAGTGGTCTTCACTGTTATTTTGACCTTGGATATGTCCTTTCAACTTGGTTTGAGTCTATTTTCTCACCTCTTAATCCTTTATTAGTTTCATATATATTCCTATGACAAGTCTGTGGAGTGTGATCAGATTGTTCGAAATGTGTTGTGCGCGCAAATACAAGATTACACGATTCAGAAAAATTACGTCTTCTTATTGCTTTATCTAAATTCATAAAGGGAACCAATTGTTTTAAACTTTATTTTATTCCTTTATGTTCCAAGTAGAAGATAGAGCTTCAAGCTGGAACTTTTGAAGTTTTATGAGGTGGGGTTGCTAGTCTCACGCCCAACCTTTCCTCTTTACCAAGCTTACCACCGGTTTAGCGAGGTTTAGGAGTACTTCCGCCGGGGATCGAATACCGGACCACACGTGCATGGTTGGCAACGAACGAGCATTTTACCACCCAAACCACAGACGCGCCTGATCCACTGTTAGGTTAGGTTTTTCGCCTATCAAAAACAACAACAACAATAAAATTGACTTACTTATAAAATGAATTTGATCCTTTGACTAAATCAACCATCCCGAGAACTGCTGTCATAAATTTCCCACTTTCATCTTTCAACACCGAGGCTTTATGCTCTAACTCTGATTGTGGATCAACAACTGCACCATTTTTTAGTTTCAATCGCATCATTTCTTGATCATCAAATTCTAAATCAGCTAATCGCTTCTCCCATCTGTCCGCTGGGGGGGAGAGAGAAAGGAAAGAAAACGGGGGTGGGGGGTTGAATACTACTCATATATATACAAGTGTGATTCGTTTGATAAAGTATAATCACAACTTGGTTTCAGTTGAAAAACCAGAGAGTACTGGACAGCTGATTCGACCTTGTTTGGGACTCTTCAACAGCACACAACCTTGACCTCACTGGACCAAAGATCTTCAGATTACACAAGGAAGGATTGTCAACCACTAACAACCGGTGAGATAGGAATCCAATGACCCATCAGTTCTAACTTTTGTGTACTGCTGAACAGTTCCAAAATAGGACGAAACTATGTACTGGTCCAGTACACCCCGGATTTGAACGGTTCACTGTTCACTGGAGTCGGTTCGTGATCACATTTCAAGCAAATCAAATCCCTGCAAACCAACACTTGAAACTTTTTGATAGAACAAGATTAAGTTAAATTTCTGGTAAAAAAATAAACGATACCTTTCCCATGCGACAGGATCGTATGGCGGTTAGTTGTACAAACCCTTTAAAATGCAATCATTCTATTAATGATGAAATTAACATCCTTTGAATGTTAATACCCCTGGGTTGTCAATTATAGTCAAACAGCTTCGAAACTTGAGTTTTATAGTTTTCTTTACTCCCTCCTATTCGCGTTGTAGGGGGGGGGGTAGAATTTTCCACATGTCCGGGTGGACAGGTGTTGAATCATTCCTATTACACGTGTTGGTTTGCAGTTGATTCGATAAACAAAGTTTCTGTTATCAATCTCTCACTCCACCATCCTGTTACATTAGATTTTAATACTGTCATCTTATCCCAGCTCATCCTATTGTATGGTTGTAAGTGCATGTAGTACTATAGTTGAATTAGCAAAATCACCATACCATCAGTAGTACTTCCATACAAAGAAGCAAGCTCGGAAACCTTACGCAGAATTCTTAAAAAGGCAGGCATAAAAGTGGCTGATATTCAAACCCAGAAACTCAATGAGAAACAAGCTTTATCGTTTAAAGGACCAATCCTGTGGAGCCAGTTAAACAAAACAATTTATTTTGTCTAGCACCCTGTTGGAATACGTACGTCAAACTAGTAGAACAGGTGCAGCCAGACTAGCGGAGCACAAAAACCTAACCATAAAATCTAGATTAGTTGACCCGATTAAGATAAGAAATCTAGAGAACAGTTCAGCTATAGCACTTACTACACGCAATTACACACAGCCATACAATAGGATGATGGGATAAGATGACAGTTTTGAAATCTTGATATAAGAATAAAACTTGGGCACTGTGGTAGAGTGTAATTCCATTATGGGTAAATTTTATTTTTATAGAGTCTCACAGTGTTATACAGTAATATTTACTGATGACGTTTCGAGCACAATTTATTGCTCATAATCATATCAAGTTAATCACACGACTTCCTAAATTCATTTATATAGTTCCATTGTTTTTGACTTGACTTTCACTTGATTTGATTGGTAGTGTTATTTTCCATATCTCGGGTATGAGTGATGATTCATTCCTATTGCATGTGTTGGGTGTAGATTCGATGAACAAAGATTCAGTAATCAACCTCTGTCTCCACCTACCTAGATTACTTTTTAGAATTTAGCTAAGGTAAGAATGGTTGACCCAGAGAAGATAAGTAATTTAGAAAAAAGCTCGGCAATTGCAATGCACGCATTAACACACAACCACACAATAGGGTGGGAGAGGGTTAAAATTCTAAAAAGTAATCTAGGTAGGTGGAGAGAGAGGTTGATTACTGAATCTTTGTTCATCGAATCTACACCCAACACATGCAATAGGAATGAATCATCACTCATACCCGAAATATGGAAAATAACACTACCAATCAAATCAAGTGAAAGTCAAGTCAAAAACAATGGAACTATATAAATGAATTTAGGAAGTCGTGGTGATTACCTTGATATGATTATGAGCAATAAATTGTGCTCGAAACGTCATCAGTAAATATTACTGTATAACACTGTGAGACTCTATAAAAATAAAATTTACCCATAATGGAGTTTTGAAATCTAATGTCACAGGATGAATGGAGGGAGAGATTGATAACTGACTGAAGCTTTATTTATCGAATCAACTGCAAACACATGCAGTAGGAATGATTCATCACCTGTCCACCCGGACGTCTGGAAGAATCTAGTACCCGTACGACAAATAGGAAAGAATAAAGCAAACTATAAAACTCAGGTTTCGAAGTTGTGTAGTTACAATTGAACAATAAGAAATTGTGTTCGAAACTGTGTCATCCAGTAAATAATACTGCTACACTCACTGTGTGATATTTCTAATAAACAAACTAATATGGAATTATTCACTACCGCCACAGTGTCCAATTTTTACACATATCTTTTGAACTGTAATCTACTAATTTTGTCAAATAACAAATTATTTCCTTAACTATTATAGACATATAATTGGTGGATGGTGACTAGCAGTGGAATCCAGGATTCGCATTTTGTCCTACTCGGGATTCGTCAGCCGGATTTTTTTTTTAAATTTTATTTTTGACTACAGCTTGATGCCACACCGTATTTTCAATACAAGTATGGAATTTTCAGCATGGATATCGGTAGCCCAAGTTTTTCAGGCCGACCATGGATATCGGCTGTGCGTCGGTAGGGGATCGAACCTCGGACCATGTGCATGGTCGGCGAGAGTCCTAACCACTGTGCCACCGACGCAATCCCACGTCACACCATCCACCAATTACACACTAATTACATGCCCAGACATCGCCGAAGCATCTGCACAAGAAGCCGACAGACATGTCAACCTGAGACCGAACACTTCGGTCCAATCAATCGACGGAAAAATCTAAAACTCAATTAAATATTATAGACATAATATTAATAGACATATTCATGGGCCATTAGATCGGGTCCCAGTGGCTAATGAATGGTCTACGAACTAGCTAGCCTTGTAACTAGAAGATCCTGGGTTCGACCCCCGCGGTGTGGGTGTGTACAGATGAAGAGTCCCAAACCAGGACGGAGGAGGCAGCTGTCCAATAGCACTCCCTGACTGGTTTTCCAATGGTTCTCTAACTGATGTCAGCTCGTGGTGAAATCTTCCAACCAACCAAACAAACAAAATCCCTACAAAACCAATACTTGAAAATTGACATATTAATTGTGGGACCTAGTGAAGATATTATCGAAAAGAATATTATTCTTTGTTGACATACTACTACTAATCAGTTTTGAAATTTCTCATAAGCATATGAATTAAATAAAAAACTAACAACATCAGTTATAAAATACAAATAGCCATGCAGTATATAACTGTTCAATTACCTTTAGGCTCACGAATCTTTCAGTGTAATTCAATCCAAAGGAAATTATTATCATATAGTAGGTGCAAAGAATGAGAGAACAAACAACATATAGTTAGGCGGTATCATGAACAGATATATATACAAGAGAAATACGATATTTTACTTTAAGGCGAATAATGACTAAGGTTGTCATAGTAATGTAGCCCCACGTCAGGGGCTTAGAGGTGTAGAGTGCCTATCAATCACGCTCATGGTCATGGGCCCGAATCCCTGACAACACAACACTCCTGAATCCCACCTGACTGGTGGCAAACCCGACAGAGAAGGAAGGTGGGTGGGCGTGAAAGTAGCAACCCTCTCCCCATCGCACCCGTAGAAACACAGAACGCCACAGCCACCGCTATCTAAACTGGAAGTCTTGTGTTCCGCTCGGAACGCAAAGTAAACGAAAAGAATACATATGTAAAACTGGTTCGCGGCGTCATTAAAAACATCTTCAGTACCCTCAGACTACCTACCTATTGACCAATTTAACCCAACTATGTGTGACCAAACGACCGTTTCACTCAACTTCCATCCAAATAACTGACAATTGTATGGTGACAACACTGCTAAATGAATCACGAGTTAAAAGGATTTAAAATTATTACGGCAGGGAATTTCAATCCAGCATCTGTATGATCAATCAGTGAGATTGCCTTGTAGCCTGAAGGTTCTAGGTTTCTCTAACCGTGGTGGGGATGTGTGTCGTGTACACTGTTGTTGAAGAGTGCCAGACTAGAGTGAAACATCTGTTCAGTTCTCTTTCTCGGTCACCAGTGATTCTCTGGCTAGCAGATGCCAGTTTGAGACGAAGTGAACACTATAATTAAATTTCATAACAACAACAAATAATGGTTCCCAATTTTACATTTTTGTAGACCAAGAATACTAAACATTTAGTAGAATGACACTAAATACTGAAAAGAAGGCCACTCAAATCCTCAACCGATTAGTTGTATTAGAAAAGTTTAATCGATAAGAAACTCAGTGAGTCATTGAAGCCTCAAGGATCAAGATCTACCACGAATGTAGAGCCTTCTAAAAATATATACCAAAATGGGGCGCCTTTATGCCTCATATTGGCCATATCGAAATCTGCATAGCATGAGTTAGCTAAATACCTTGGCAAGATTGATTGAAATCACCGAAAATACCTGCTGAGTCATGAAAAAAAATAAAACACAATTCAGAGAAGAAAATTTCGTTTGTCGACGAAGTCGTCTTCAGATGCTGTACAGTCGTATTTATATCTACCAAGAATGTAGAGTAGTCCATCACTGAGTAGTAATAGGGGGGATGACATAAATTATATAATTCCTCAGAAGTGGTTTCAAAAATAAAAGTTACAAATTACGTAATACTCAACAGCACAAAGGAAGAAAGTGTTAGAAATTTGGTAAGATTAAAATTGTTATTGAGTAAGAAGAAAGGTACTTGAGTGTTTATTCAGCCAGTGTGAAGAGGGTGCCAAAACGTAAGAAAAAAAACATATGAGAGTGATAATAGTTAATTTAATTACTAAAGCAAAAGCAAAGTAATCATTTAAATTAAAAATTTACAGGGGACGACTAATGAAGAGGTTAAGATTAAAGTAGAATAAGAGACTGGGCAGACGTTTCCTGTATACAAAGTTCGGGGTTGTATTGACTAATTACCAAAGCCTCCACTATACACAAATACCGAAACTTGACGCTCCTTGTGCTATTTGGTCTCACCTTGTAGATGATCTTGAAAGACGACTGTGGTGGAGCTGCGTGGCTTGAGTGCTCAAGAATTTAGCTGGTAAATGTCTTGTATTGTATTTTTGCTAACCATGCCGGATAATGTTCAGAGATGAGTTTGGAAAGTGTGCGCGGTCGCTTTGTGCGGCCAATATATATAACTCCACAGAAGCAGGTGAATTTATAAATATACGATGAAAAGGTCAAAAGTGGCAGTTTATTCCTCACATGTCCATTGATCATTGGTCCGTTGTAGAAAATGATCCGTAGCTCAGCGATTCCTCAGAATCTCACCTGCGGTATCACCTTGAAATTCAATGTTCATGAATAGCAGTTTGGAAATCTGCTTCCCTCAGCACAAAGAACAAAATTCAAATTTCCGTCAATAATGTCACGTCAGTCAGTTCTTCTATATGAGTCAGTAACTTGGTCAGGGCGTCGCGAAAATCATTTCGAACAGACTTAGGGGACTGCTCCATACTGAAGACCACGTGAGCAGAAGGAATTTGCAATAAGAAACTCTGGGAACGAGCTAACAGATGAGAACCTATTGCTGGTGAGTGCCAACAACAAGCACAAAGAAACCTAGGTTCTAGACTTTCTGAAGATTGCGCATCCTAACACCAACCATCTCTAACAACAACAAAAAAGAAACAACCACACAGAAACTATGCACACATGCACATGAATAAAGTTAAAGAGAAACATTCACTCGGATAAAAAATACCACCATAGTACCTTGACTTTCCAATCAGAGATTGTATGTTTTTCTAAAAGTTGTTGAATTTTCCCATCAGATTTCCCACCTGAATTCAGTTCAGATAACAAGCCCTCATCGATAACACGTAAACCAGAAGCACGTGCTGTTGAAATAGTCCCCTTTGACGCATTGTCCACATTCTTCTCCGGTTTCAATTCAGCCAGTGTAGAGACAACAATTGTATTGGTGCTAAGCTATACACCAGAGTATGAATAAGGGGAACAAAGGAATTTTTGTCATTACATGTCTCATGAGTAGACGACACATTGATGAGTTCACAAGCAAAACAGAAATTGATCAAAGCAAAAGGTGTGACTTATTAATCTCAGAACAATAACAGACCTCAATTTCAATACTATAGTGTGACTCTATGTGACTGTAACTCAACAACTGCATACTACCCAGTTGCCCAGACTGAAGTCGAAGGATGAAGAGAGATTTGAGTCCGAGGTTAATTCGCTCTAAAAAACAGGCAAACACCAAGCCTTACTAGAATGCAAATACATTCATTTGACAACTCATAAATACGTTGAGACATGGATCCAGTGTGTGGAGAAGTAGCCTATCTCCCTGAGTACTTGACCTTCATCACAGCTATCACGTACCGAGCTCGAATCTCGCCATACCTACTTCGGTTTATGCAACTGGGTCGTAAAATATCATCAGCTTTCCCCATACAATAAGTCTGGTTCGTAAGTATGGCGCACATGAAAAACTTCTTCCAAGTAATTGGGTTCAAACTCCTCACTGCACACCTACGAAGGTTTGGGCAATCAGATGGTATCAATCAACCTCACAATTGCATCAAAATGCAATGCTTATTATGTTCTTATGAGATCAGTAAACTTCACATATCTTGAGTTTCTCCTTCAGCGACTTTCCCGGTAACATTTAAAATTATCGCTGCTTCCCCTAGAACGTTACGCTTGATACTATTTATTACCGAAAACGGGGAAGTTAAACTTTAAGCACCAGTAAGTACCAATCAGCAAGTGACCTTTAACGCACCAATCACATGGAAACGGCTATTTTTAGGTGATACAATACATCTATTTATTGGTTACAAGATTTCATCATGAGCTGAGGTCGGTTAGAGAACCACTGGAAATGAGATGCTCACTGACGACTGGCCCTATTCAGGCAGGTAGTTACCTGGAGTTCTAGGGGGGAGTCGTGACCAGTAGGGTGCAGCAGGTGGTCAAGCCGGTGTGAGGACAAATACTCGCCGAAGATATTGGCTAGCGGTCGCTCTATGTCGTCAATTGGCAGAAGTTAGAATTCATGGACTAGCCATTGGATCGGGTCCCAGTGGCTCAATGGTCTACGAGCTCGCCATTTAACCAGAAGGTCCTGGGTTCGAACCTTGGCGGTGGTTGCGTACTGCTGAAGAGTCCCAAACTGGGTTGACGAAACAGATGTCTTAGTACTCCCTGGCTGGTTTTCCACTGGTTCTCTAACCGATGTCAGCTGGTGATGAAATCCTGTAACCAATCAATCAAATCCCTACAAACCAATACTTGAACATGTATTTATGATGTATGAAAAAGGCATAAAAATGTTACACAGGATGTCTTCCTCCAGGACGTGACAAAAATAACTCCCAGTTTCCCGTAGGTTTATCAATAGAGAAGATGAACCATATTCTATACATGTATTCATCTAAATGGCTATAGACAACATCATTTCGAGATTCGTTAATGGCTCAAATCCTGTCCTCCAATTCTCCCCTCCAACAGGATCCACAAAATTATAATTGTTATTATTAAAACACCTACATTCACAAATGGTTAGTCTCTCTTCATACCACACTCGCAACAGCCATGTTTCACAGTCATTAAGAAGGATAGAGTAGACTGTTGGACAGTTCATATGTTCCTTGTCTGATAGCTCGATTTCACGTCTGTAATTTAACAAATCTCACCTGAGCCTTTTCTATGTGTGATGAAATGTCATAAGAGGTTAATACAATAAGTCAAACATGTTAAGTACATGGTCACGCTAAAACCAGGTTATTCCATATCCTCAAAAACTAGGAGTCGGTACAGACAAGTCCCTTTGACATCGCCTTACATTTGATGGGGAGTGAATCCCAACCCGTCAAACATACTAAGATTTCTATTCAAGGTGTTCATAATACTTTGACAGATGAAGTGTAAGCTTGAATCTTTCCATCCACTTGCTGTTAAACAAGTTGTCACAGCTTTAGACTAAAACTGATGAAGAGTCCCATTATTATTATTGTTATTATTATTATTGTATCCTTTAATTCCTAGAGGAACATAGGGCTTCAGCTGTGCCTCTCCATTGCGTTCTGTTCTCTGCTAGAGTCTTCACCTGGCTCCATGTCTGCTCACACGTTTTCATCTCCTCTTCACATGGCCTCCTCCAAGTCACCCTTGCACTGACGACCAACTCGCTGCTTCCCCTTTCTGACTCCACTCGAGCAATGGCTTGTCTAGTGATGTCACTTGATGGCTTGTTTCCTCAGAGTATGGCCAATCCATCTCCATTTCTTTCTGCATATTTGTTTCACAATCGGTTCCTGGTTGGTTCGCCCTCAGAGATCTCTGTTGCTTATCTTTTCTGGCTGGCCATCTGATCTTGAGTAGTGTTGAGCGAAGACAGCTGTTAATGAAGGTCTGTAGTTTGTTTGAGATGCATTTTATGACGCGCAGTGCAAGTCTCTGATCCATCCGTATAGTAGCAATGACTGACTTCACATTGGAGTTGAAAATCCGGATCTTATCTTCAATTTGATGCTGAGTGCTGTTGACCTCCACACAGACTTGAGAGTAGTGAAAGCTTGTCTTGCTTTCCTGATCCTTGCTGCTTTGATATCCTCGTCAGTTCCGCCTGTAGTTGAAACGATGCTTCCAAGAGTCCCAAACTAGGACGAAACCGCTGTCCAGTACTCCCAGCTGGTTTTCCAATGGTTCTCTAACCGATTTCAGCTCATCATGAAATCCTGTAACCAATCAATCAAATCCCTACAAACAAATACTTGAATATCAATGAGATGCTCAGTGGCGACTGGCCCTATTCAGGTAGGTAGTTACCTGGGGTTCTAGTGGGAAGTCGTGACCAGTAGGGTACAGTAGGTCGGGCGTGAGATTACATACTCGCCGAAGACATTGGCTAGCAGGTCACGCTATGTCGTGATTTGACAGAAGTTGGCATTCATGGGCTGGCCATTGGATCGGGTCCCAGTGACTTAATAGTCTACGAACTCACTTTGTAACCGCAAAGTCTATGGTTCAAACCCCTTGGTGTGGGCGCGTCCTGCTGAAGAGCCCCAAACTAGGACGAAACAGATGATGATGAGATACTGTAACCAATCAATGAATCAATCATATCCCTACAAACCAAACACCTGAATAAATAAAATGCAAATAAACACAGTATACAACAGAATCAAATACACATACTTTGGTCATGATAGCTCCACCGAAATTAGTGAATTCACGCATTAACTGTTCCCTTGACTTGCCACTATCAAATGGTCCATTAGTGATATAGAAAAATAAACCAGTTAGTGGTCCTGTGATATCAGAGACCAGATCTGGTGGAAATAATCGTGTACGCTTGACATATTTGTATTTCTTTCTGGTATGAGTAAAACAAAGCAGATAAATGAAGAAAATATTACAAGATTTTTAAAGACATTGGAATTCATAATTATTGCGTAACAGTTTGATTTCATATGCTTATATATTAGTACCTCTCTCTAAGAACAACGGAAAACTCAGTAATGCCTTTGAAGTATAGACAAGGTTGCCTACTATTATTATTACCGATAATATTCCTGATTGTGGTGTGGGGAACGAGAAGACAAGAATACGACGGACCGACAAGAAGACTCTGGAAGTGTTATATCTGCACTGCGGATTGTTATAAGGGTAATGAACTCGACTGATATGCTAATACGTCTATAGGGTGAGCAATATTGAGGTTAGGCGTCAGTCGAGTGAGTGCTAGGTAAGGAGGGGAAATCGACAGACGAGACTGTGAAGCTACATCGACTGAGATGGTTAGGACATGTTTTACGTATGCCTAGTCATCGCCTTCCTCGACTGACGGGCGATGTTAGCTGCCAACATAGGGTCACGTTGGAAAAGAGCCAGTGGTGGTCAAACCAAAACATGGCTGAGTTCATCAGTCAATGAAATCCACAACAGTTAGTTTAAGCCAGTCACGTAGGAAGGTATAGACTTCCTGGTTGGGGTCCTCGAGAGGGTAAAAACCAATGGCTGGAAACAATCAGTAATATGGCTCAAACTCATCGTTCTCAGTGGCTGGTGCACAAATGCATTCACTCCTTGTGACTTATAATACCCAATGAAACTATATTGTTCTTCGTTATTACTCTTCTTTTTGTCTCATATCCCTGTTTACTGTCTCTATTTTGCATTCCATTTTACTTTCTTCTCTTGCTTTGTGTGTTACATGGAGGGAGAGTAGCAACTCGAACTGCTGCACATCGGTGTAAAGTTCTATGTCGAAAACAGACAGATAGACAGACGATACGTCTATCCCTGTGTTGTACCTTCCAATTCACTGAGCCACACAAATATCAAAAGACAAAGGATGGCCTGTGACTGTAAGATATTGTATTATGTAGGTCTATTAGCAAACAACACACCATATTTATACATTTTCTTTACTACAATAAAGTCGGCTCACAGCCATAGAAATGCATTGTTCATATTGGCTGGCAATAGCTATTCTGATTGGCTGGCGATCTGATGACAAAGACCAAGGTGCGACAAAAGATGATGAATCGATCACACAATAAATCACAATATGTGTGAGAAATGATGGATTCATACAGTAACTCCATCACAAGATTCGTAAGAAAGGATTATATACTATCTTATGCTGGTTCTTATCAGGAACATACGGACTTCGTGGATGATTTATGTCTCATGTCACACAGAAACTTACCAGCAAAAACCAACAAGTTGGGAGAGGAAGGAGGCAATGATGATAAAAATTTAAGTGAACGTAGAAAGGATAGAAGCGGTGAAGATAAACCAACCGACAATACGAATAACAAGCACCAATCGCCATTGACTGGAGAAATCTAAAGCAAGTCACCTCTCCTACTTATCTAGGGCAGTATTATTTCAACTACAGGCGGCGGAAAGTACTGTCACGAGATTGGCTGGAGCCTGTGCCTGCACTTATCCTTGTAGGTGAAGTTGTCAACAAGTTCGTGTATCTGACTAATTGTGTAAGTGCCGGTGAAGGTATAACTGACGAGATCTCTAACTGTATAGTGAAACCTAGGGTAGCATATGCCAATTCGAGCCACCTCTGAGGCCATTACGACATCAGCCTGGCTGTCAAAAGTCAGGTTTACAACTCTTTGTTGCACTCAGTCTTGCTGTACGTCTGTAAAACCCGGCCTCTCCTGGCTGAGAATGTACGGTAACTCTGCGTACTCGATCATCGCCGTCTCCGTAGAATTGCTTGCGTTCAATGGCATCATCGTGTGAGTAACTCTGAGATCCGGCGGCGTGTGTTTGGACATACTGAGTGTCGTCATCTGGAAACACTGGCTTCAGTGGCTAGGAAATGTGCTACGAATACCATCCCAGAGGCTTCCGTACAGCTGGTTGGCTGTTCGATAGCCCTAGGAATGGGTGGAAAAATCGAAGAGGTGGTGCGTCTATGACGTGCTGTCGTGGAATGGAGAATATTTGGCGTTAGTTTAGCATCTGTTGGTAAATCACGACTCCCTAGTTACGTTCCGAGAGATAATTCGAATCAGTGACTCGAAATAAAATAATTTTCATTTCTTGCCTTCCAACAAAAATACAGGACTTCACAAGCTTTGAAATTTCAGTGGCAGTGGTGTTGTGTTTTTGAACGACATGAGTTTGGTAGCACGCCTCACACATTTAAGAATGCCTCAGTCGGCTATCTGTCTGTCTGTCTGGATTCAAAATAGAACTTGCCACCGAAGTGCAGCAGTTCCAGTTGCCACGTTCCAAATACCACACAAAGGTAGACAAGAAAATGAGCGATGAAGAGAATCAATAGAGTTTTGACAAGTATAAGAGTGAATCAGAATGAGTAGTAGTAGAAAGGAATATGAAAGATTACAGAGACTGAATACATCTGCGTAAGCCATTGACAACGATTTTGAGCCATGTCACCTATTGTCTCCAGCCATTGATTGATTCTTAGAGTCCTGAGGGCCCCAACCCGGAAGTCTGCATCTCCCTCCCTACCTGACTCAGTTTAACTGTCAAGGATTTCATGGATTGATGAGGCCATGTTTTTGTTTGGCCACCACTTACTCTTTTCCAATCTGCACCTATATCAGCTAGTAATGCCCGTCCGTCTGGGGAGGCGATGGTTAGGCATGCGCAGCATGTGACCTAGCCATCTCAATCTATGTAACTTTATAGCCTCGTCGATTGATTTTCCCTCTTTGCCCAACACTCTACGCCTAACGTCAACATTACTTACCTTATTATACCACCTAACGTGAGAAAGAGATCGTAGACATCTGTGATCAAAAACAGACAATCTCTTCATGTCTTCCGCTCTCAATGGCCACGTCTCACCGTCATAGAGAAGGACGGAGCGAACTGCTGACCAGTACACACGTCCCTTGGTTGATAGCCGGATGTCACGCCTACGCCAGAGACGGTGTAAGTTAGGGAAAGCAGCTCGAGCTTTTTGGATCCGTGCTGAGATTTCGTCACCAATCAGTCCGTTAGTGCTGATGCAACTTCCCAAATAGGTGAAGTGGTCAACATGTTCTATCACTTCACTCCCTATCACTAAGCTAGGAGTTGACGTAGTCCAGTCCTGTAGCAGCATCTTACATTTTACAGGGGCGAATCGCATGCCAAACATATGAAGATTGCTGCTCAAGGTGTTCAGAAGACTCTGCATTTTGTCAGTATTCTCCCCCCTAACAGGTCTACGTCATCTGCATATTCTAAGTCCGTAAGACTATTCCATGGTAACATGTCGATTCCTAAGTCGTTAAGTTCAATTGGCTATCGGACTTCAACGACTACTGCGTGGGTGGAGCTTAAAAAAAGCGAGCAGTATTCCCAACACTGAACCCCACCACCACCCCGAGGCAAGTTAAAACTTTTAAAAAGGCATAACACAATCATAATAATACCACAATAATACTTACAAAAATTCCACATCATGATACTCTTCAGGAATATTAAACTTTTTACGTTCAGGTGTCCGGGTATGATAAAGACACTGGATCCAATCTGTAGCCATAGCACTACACTTATAATTTGCATTACTATAATGCAGTGGGCCTTGTTTACAACTTGGACATGTCGGCAATGCACCAAATGTCATCGCATCGGCAACTGCATCGAGGAGACGAGATAATCCAGAGGGAACGAATTGTTTGTTGTATTCTAGTAAACCAATCAACGCCTCTTTGGATACTTCACTTTCAAGTTTATCTCTTAAACTCCACAGTAATTTATTCTGTTTACGTAATTCTTCCTGAAATTATAGAAATGAGAAATATTACTCAATTATAGTAAATGGAAATAAGTAATAATGGAAAGAGTAGTGCGTGGGAGGCGGGCGGGGGGCCTAGAAATGACACTTACAACACATAGGAGAGCAGACAAGCTGAAGAAACAATGATGACGGGGAGTGAGAAGTCTGTCTGTTTTTGACATAGGACTTTCCACAGATGTGCAGCAGTTCGGGTCGCCATACTTCACTCAGCACACAAAGCACGACAAGAATAGAGACAGTAAACAGGGATATGAGACAAAAGGAATAGTAATAACGAAGAGCAATATGGTGTCATTGGGTATTATAAGTCACAAGGTGTGGATGCATCTGCGCCTGCCATTGAGAACGATTTTGAGCCATATTACTGATTGTCTCCAGCCATTGGTTTTTACCGTCCCGAGGAGCCCAACCAGTCAGTCACGTAGTCTATACCTCCCTACGTGACTGGCCGACTGAAACTAACTGTCGTAGACTTCATTGACTGACGGAGCCATGTCTTGGTTTGACCACAGCTAGCTCTTTTCCAGCCTGACCCTTTATCAGCTAACATTGACCGTCGAGGAAGGCGATCACTGGCTAGACATACATGCGTAATACATGTCCTAACCATCTCAGTCGATGCAACTTCACAGCCTCGTCGATTGATTTTCCCTCCTTACGTAGCACTCACTCGATGCATGACCTCAATATTGCTCACCTTATTATACCAGCACCTGACAAGGGAGAAAACACGCTCAACAACCACTTCACTCCCTATTTCTAAGCTAGGAGTCAACGTAGTCCAGCCCTGTAGCATCATCTTACATTTGGCGGGAGCGAGTCGCATGCCGCATATTCGAAGATTGCAGCTCAAGGTGTTCAGAAAACTCTGCTCTACTTTGTCAGCATCTTCACCTAGAAGGACTATGCCATCTGCATATTCTAAGTCAACGAGACTATTATTCCCTGTTAACAAGTCGATCCCTGAGTCGCTGAAGTCACTTAGAGTTAAGTACATCTATGTTGATGGACAGAGATGGATTGGACACTCGCTGAGGAGGCCGTTGGGTGACATCGCGCGTCAGGCCATAGCTCGAGTGGAACTCGAAAGGGAAGCGGCGAGGGGGACGTCCGAGGGTGACATAGAGGAGATCGTGTAAAGAAGAGTTGAAACATTATGGACTAACATGGATGCAAGTGAAGAGTATAGCAGAAGACAGAAACAAGTGGAGGCGTGCAGTTGAAGCCCTACGTTCCACTAGGAATCCAAGGGAACAATAATAATAATATAATACTGAAATGGAATAGAAATGGGGATAGTGGGCATCCCTGACGGGCACCACTTCAGATGACAACTCGCCGTAAGCCCTCACCTGGCTGCATCAGTTTGAGCAGAGTGCCTTGGTGTGAGAAGTGAAATAATTAATAAACGACATCAATACATAGACATCCATAGACGACTGATTGAGGTATGTAGAGTTGTGTCATATAAAAGAAAAGGTGTTCACCGAGAAGTTATTCTCTCCGGCGATATCGTTCTCAAGCTGTACAATCATATACATACAGTAAATTATCTTAGCAATAAAAGGAATATTTCCAAAGGTGTGTCATTACAGTTGAGAAAATTTTCTAGATAACAAATTACGTAACGCAGAAAGCGTTAATCGGGTAGGAGTTAAATTTACCTATTTGGTGTTAAGGTAGATCAGGTCCATTGTAGATTTAATGACTGAACAAACTTCTTTCGTATGAAGAGTTCAGAATTCAACATGTGATGAATTGCCATTGCTTCTGCTCTGTTTGAAGAAGTCTGATTCGTAATGCTCTATTTTTTAGCAAAACTCCCGCGTATTCTGCAGATAACTTCGAAGTTTCTTTGTGAGTCAGCTTGGTGTGTGTCCATAGATTCGATCAGGTGTTCCAGACTTCTTCAAACCGGAGAGGCGATGACGATTCACATGTTAAATTTCAAACTAACTAACCTTTTAACTGAATTTTAGATTTTCCCGTCGATTGATTGGAATGAAGTGCTCGGTCTCAGGTTGACATGTCTGTCATCTTCTTATGCAGATGCTTCGACGATGTCTGGGCATGTAATTAGAAGTTAATTGGTGGATGGTGACTAGCAGCAGTGGAATCCAGGATGCGCATTTCGTCTCATTTGGGATTCGTCAGCTGGAAAATCCAAAATTCAATTAAATAATTAATATGACTCGTTGCCCAAGAGGTGGTTCTCGTGACCCAGGTGGTCTAATGGCTAACCTCGGTGAGAATATCATCACTCATTGGGGAATGCACATACATCCACTAGCTGACGAGTCCCAAATAGGACGAAATGGGCGTTATCCTGGATCCCACTGATAGTCACCATCCACCAATTAACTAACCTTTTGTTTTGTTATTTAAACGTAGTTGTTAACTTACACACTGACACACATACAACGCACATAAAATTCAACCACAAAAAACCCTTTTTCTCTACTCCCATCCTTAACATGATCCCTCATCCATCTAAAGTTTACAATCAATATGAATGGGACTTAATATGAACATGACTCATGCGAATTTATTACTGTACATTCGTTGTTTCTCATAATCATTTACTTTGTAATAATATTGGTGTTCAATTTAGTAGCATTACACAGTACTACTACACACTCAAAATACCATACAAAAATTGTACATCAGAGGCAATTCGAAAAAACCTCAAAAATATTGGGATTCGCACAATGTTTAAACCGACGAATCTAATTAAAAATTAAATAAATCAACTGAAAGATCCCATAAAAATGAGGGATAAAACAATGTGATTTACAAAATATCTTGGGCCGAGTGTCCGATTAAATATTTGGGTCAAACATCCAGATCACTGAAAATAAAAGTGAATGAACATAAACGCCTGCCTAACTAAAGGTCAACCAACTGGAAGGAACACAACCTTACTAGATTTTAGAAAAAATTCATCTATAGCTGCACATGCATGGGACAAAAACCACAATGTTTGTGTATTCTAAAAACTAATATGAACAAATGGAAAGAGAGACTACTAATAACAGAATCTCTATATTTATTAAGGTCACACTGGATACATGTAACAAGGGTGACTCAGTGGCACAACTGTCAACAACCTGGAATATAATTCTCAATACACACAAGTGAATGAACAAAAAAATGAAATGTTTTATATGAGTACAAATCATAAATATGTGAATTAAAAAACTAAACAATTCCAACAGTTGGTGTGTGATCACGGGCAGTAGTAATTTTGCTCGAAATATTACCAAAAATCAAAAAGAACTTATCATTGTGTGTAAACACCATTGAAATATAATTGTACTTTATTTGATCTATTCCACATTATTTATTTTTATCTTGATTATAGCTTAATTCCACACTGTACTTTTGGTACAGGTATGGAATTTTCAGCATATGATATCGGTAGCCCAAATTTTGCAGGCCGACCACTGATATCAGGTGTGTGTCGGCAGGGGATCGAACCCCGGACCATGTGCATAGTCGGCGAGAGTTCTAACCACTGTGCCACCGACGCACAGATTATAATCTTTTAACAGTCTAATTCCAAATAACTTTGGAAATTCTCATCTAAATGATTCCATGTTACTCTCTTTTTAAAAAAAAACCCAGTAATGTTGTCAATATCTAATTGACAAGTAAATGTGTGATCAGATTGTGCGAAATGTATAGCGCAAATACATCACATTTTTCAGATAATCTCCGTCTTCTAATAACACTATCCAAATCATTCTTTCATTATTGTGGATGCATAGATAACTGTAGAACCTGATGAAGGAGAGCAGGTTACCGAAAACGTGAATATTCTTTGTTCAATAATCAGTCTTTTGTAATTTCGAATGGGCATCTTTAATCAATCAAAAGAAGTTTGTTCAGTCATTAAATCTACAATGGACCTGACCCAACTCAACATTAAATCCACAATTTTTGTTTCTTGATTGCATCATTTTCTTCCCCCGCCCCCACTCCGTATGAAATTTCTACCCTTTATTACCATACTATTGTTAACTTGACTCACGCTCAAACCTTAGTTGAACTCTACTCAACACTGTCAATTATATTACGTCACTCACTCACTATACTTAATCAATCTTACTTTAGCTCTTACCCGATTAACGCTTTCTACGTCACGTAATTTGTTATCTAAAGAGATTTTCAATTCGAATGACACACCTTTGGAAATATTCCTTTTATTGCTAGGATAATTTACTATATGTATGCGATTGTACAGCTTGAGAATGATATTGCCGGAGAGGGTAGCTCTTCGATGAATGCCTTTTCCTTTGTATGCAGTTGTGAAGTTGCATCGACTGAGATGGCTAGGAAAAACGTCACACATGCCAAGCCACTTTTTCCCACCCTTAGCAATACTAGCTGGTTTAAGATTAGTTTGAAATAGAGTTAGGGATGATCACATCAGAACTCGACATCAATCCATAAAGTCTGTGGTGAAAGCTGGCAGCGAACAAGCGAAAATTGTAAACAACAATTTACGTCTGGAATCAGGGTCATGAGAAAAACAATAACAAAGCTTAACCTTTAGGAACTCAACAACCAATCACAGCAGACTTAACGTGACCAAATACGATTCTCAGATCTATGGCTTAACTTCCCGAGAAACGGTTACAAGCAGTAGAGAATATCCTTCTGTAAGAAAACAACCAATCAGACGACGTTTCTTCTTCGCTGACAATAATGTACATAAGAATCTATAAATATCACTTGATTTCCTCAATAAACGTTCTGTTGCCTGGCTCCTGTCTTTCGTTGTTACACTTCTTTGACAATTGGTTTGAGGCATCCAGGGAGGTGTAGTTTACCTGGCTGATATACATCCCCGAGATACTAAGAACTAATGACTGAAGACAGATGATGATATGGCTAAGAATTATTCTCTGTGGCGCTGATACATTCACTCCTCGTGATATTTTCCAAATACATCAAATTCTTATTATTCCCAACATAAATATTCTTCTCAGTAGCAACGAGAAATTCTGGCAGGCAACGAAACAACACGCAAGAACTTATTTATTGTTCAACAAATAAACCAAAGAAGGAAATGTGAAGATGTATCAGACACATGTTGAGGAGACTGTTCGCCAGGTCATCACTCAAATGGAAACCTGAATGGAAAACGATGGGTAGGGAGTCACTTAGAGGGTGACATGGAGGAGATCGTGCGGAGAGATGAGAGTAAGAATAATAATACGAAAGAACAGTAGAGTATAAATCACAGAACGTGAATGCACCTGTGCACCAGCCAATGAGAACGATCACTTCGAGCAATGTCACCAATTATCTCCAGCCTTCATTGGTTCCATCCTACCATCTCGAGGACCCCAACCAGTCACCCACGTAGTCTACACATCCCTACGTGACAGGCCGGTCGGCTGGCTGGCTTAAACTAACTGTTATGGACATCATTGACGAATGAAGCCGTGTCTTCGTTTGTCCACCACTAGCTCTTTTCCAACCTCACAGATGCTATTTTGTCAGCTAACATTACCCTTTGTCGAGGAAGGCGATCAATGGCTAGGCATACGTGGGTAACACATATCCTAACCATCTCAATCGATGCACCTGCTTCACAACCTCGTCCATTGATTCTCCCTCCTTACTTAGCACTCGACCGAAGTCCTACCTCAATATTACTCACCCTTTTATACCACCTGACACGGGAGATGGAACACGCAGACATCTATGCTCAAAGACAGCTGGCTAGGCGTTTCATGTCTTCCACTTCCAATGGCGGCCATGACTCACTCAAAGCGATAAATGAGGAGGGAGCGAACTGCTGTGCAGTACACACGCCCTCTGGTCGACAGCCGGTCAGATATCACGTTTAAACCAGAGATAGCATAAGTTTGCATATATCAAAAGAACCTCGAACCCAACACAACAACGTCAACACTCCAACATAACTTTATTTTCAATATATTTAATTCTCTCACCTACCTGTTCAGTATTTTCTTCTGATTTAACTTTTTTTGCCTTTGGACCTTGTTCAGCTGGTGCCGATGAAGCGGCTTTAGCAGGTCGTTTCCTATTCTCCCTTTAAAAAAAAAAATATGAAAGTGTGGTGTTAATAGGCATTATAACAAGTTGGTTTGCACAAATTCTCTACAAACATCAGAATATATTTATATATATTATCCTTCTAAAGCTGTATTGTTCAAATGGTAAGTTTTAGACAACAATTAATCAATATAGAAAGCGTTAACAGGTAGGTAGAGACTTCACACAATACAGTGTAACGTACAATGTCATTGACACATTGGCGTAGTAGATGAGTTCAATTAAGATTGAAAGAGGATGAGCTTTAAGATCAGTGCCATAAAAAGTAGAAATATAACAAATAGTGGTGGATTTGAGGAAGGAGAAGAGAACAGTACAACTGAAAGATTAAAAACATTAGGATTGACAGAAATTGCATATCAAATAGTGTTTATATAAATAAAGTGCACTCATCAGCAAGGTATACTTGTTATCTTGAAGTTCACTTATCAGTGATAGTCATCAGGAAGTAGAATGCCTGATTCTTGGTGCTGGTTAGCATCTGTAAATCACTTATGGCAATTTACGATACGTTATGATGCAATGTAATTTGGTAGGAGATATACAGCGTCAATAGATGGGTGACCTCTTTAATCTTCGTTTAGTCATACAGGCTCAATAAAGTCACTAAAATCGTGAGCCTGAATAGCTCAGTGGTAACGTCTCTGACTGCAGCACTGGGTGACGCGGCACATGAGTTCCTTCGAGGTTGCTGATACGCCTTGCTGATGAGTGTCAAATAGCACGAAACCTAAATGAGTTAATCGGGGCTTCTTGCCGATTGCTTCCAACCATCTAATACTAACAAAGTCACTACAACTCAACAACGTACCAGTGTAACGACAGAAGGCTAGAGTCAGGCAACAGATCATTTATTAAGGAAATCAACGCATATTTATATATGTTTTCATGTACATTACTATGGATATGTAAACAAACAAACACAGTCTTCCGATTGGTTGTTTCTCGCGACAAATCTTGGGAACGTAAATATTGACGTAAATTACTGTCTACCAATTTGGCTAGTAGACAGCTCTCACCACAGTGTGACTGTATACAAAGTTCTAGATTTAATGTGTGGATTGTAGCGCATCCCTTCTGCCCTATTTGAACAAATTTGATTTGTACTCCTTCTCCTCCTCCCCCTCTTCTTTTGGCATGATTTCCGCGTACTTTGGACAGATAACTGTGAAGTTGGTCTGCAAATTCCCTTCGTGGATCAAGTGTTCCGGAACAAAGCTGTAGGAGATTTTTTCCTCTATTATATAAAGCCATGAAGCTAAATGTCTCATCATATACATTTCGATAGTAAACGCTGAATATTCTTGATTGGACACTAGTCAGTAACTAGTGTAATGTGTCTAGTCCTATCTTCGGTGCAGACTGAATTCTATCAGTCAGGTTTGCAATGTGGCCACACCATAACACTAGGTGGTTCGTCATCACGGTGCACTGTGAATTGTTGGTATTAGATGGTTGTAGGCAATTGGCAGGAGATAAATGGCGAGTCTGAATAGCTCAGTGGTAAAGTCTATGACTGCAGGTAGCACTGGGTGACGCGGGTTCGAATCTCAGAAGGGACACGAAATCCCTTAAGGTTGCAGATACGCCTTTCTGACTAGTGAGTGCCAACTTAGCACGAAACCTAGGTCAGTTAGTCAGTCGAGGCTTCCTGCCGATTGCCTCCAACCATTTATTATCAGCAACTTAAAGTGCACCGTGGTAGCGAGCGACCTAGTGACATGGTGGCGCCACATTGAAAATGTAACTGACAGAATTCAGTCTGCATCAAACAAAGGATTAGACATGAGTTCCTTCGACGTTGCAGATACGCCTTGCTGATGAGTGACAACTTAGCACGAAACCTAGGTCCAAGACTTCCTGCAGATTGCCTCCAACTATCTAATACCAACAGAGATATGAGCAAATGTGTTTGCTGCAGATTGCATATGTGAATATTAGTTAACAATACTTTTTCTTGATTGCTGTCAACAACAGGAGTAAAACACCCATGTTACTGATAAATAGTGTTAAAGACGTTTTTGAATTTATTGCTAACGTGAATGATATCAATGTAAATGGGAAGCAAATACTTTCCTTAGGTGTAGCGTCACTGTTTACCAATGTACCACTTATGGAGACTGTGGAATTCATGTGCCAACAGATACTAGAAAAGCAGATTGACATCGGAATTCCAGTTATTAGTCTGAAAGAGTTGCTTCTAAGATGCACTATGAATGTACACTTTACATTCAACAACCTTTATTACAGACAAATCGACGGTATTGCCATGGGTTCTCCATTGGGTCCAATTTTGGCAGATTTCTTTCTTGCTAAGCTTGAAAATGATCCATTGAAACAAGTAATAGATAACAATGATTCATATTTTCGTTATGTTGATGATAAGTTCATTATTCTTGATGTGAAAACTGACAAGAATGAAATGTTAAAAAAGTTTAATGATGCACATCCATCGCTCATCTTCACTTGTGAAGAAGAACATGATGGTGGATTACATTTCCTTGACGTCCAATTGAGCAGAAGAGAGGATGGTTCACTCAAGAGAGACGTCTATAGAAAACCTACATCTGTAGGACAATATACGCATTTCCTCAGTTTTGTGCCACTCCGATATAAAATCAATTTGGTCAGATGCCTTACGAATAGAGCAAGACGTATTTGTACAGATGACTCCCTAGAAAATGAGCTAGGATATATCCAAAAAACGTTGGTCCAAATGGGTTATCCTAGTAGATTTGTTAGGAGACACATGAATACCAGCCACAACAAAGGAAAACTGACAACAGTTAAAAAGAAAGAACTGTTCATGAAACTTCAATTTAATGGGTATGTAGCTAGTGAAGTCTTACATCTGAGATTATCGAGAGCGATAAAACGGACTTATACTGCCGCCACCCTTTGTTTGTCATTTTCCAGCCGACCAATTTTGATTGCTCAAGTGAAAGATAAGCTACCTAGTTGTGCCACTTCGATGTGTATCTATAAATTTAGTTGCTCCTGTGGAGAAAGCTATATAGGGCGAACAACTAGACAGCTCGACAAACGCATTAATGAGCATCTTCCTTCTTGGTTCGGAAAAGGTCAAATAAAATCCATACGAAGTTCTATTTTGGCTCATTTGATTGATAGTGGTCACCAAGTGGACAGTAGAAGTGCCTTCAAAGTTATCTATCGCATTCCATCGAGCCTTTCGAACGGAATTCGAATCTGTCTGTTACACATAGACGAAGCTATTGGAATTAATTCGAGAGAACAATACTAGTCTTTGCGTACGAAAGAAGTTTGTTCCGCCTTTGTCTCTCCCTAGGTGAATTGTATTCAAAACCCTCCCACCTTTTCTTATTTTCCATCTCCTTCGTACTTTTATAATATTTATTGAAACTCTGATTATCGTTCCACTTCACCTTTTAACATTAGACCTAATTTATTTATACACTTATATACATATACTATCTTTGTTATTCTTATCACTTGCATAAACCTTATTATCAATATTTTGTTATCATTATAATCATCGGTATTAATTTCGTTCAAAACATTTACCACATTATTATTAATTGATTCCCAAAATCACCGTCATTGATCAAAATTTTATATATAAATCTATGTAAATTAGAGTAAAGCCTGAAGATCTAATTGAAAACAATATTGTCCGCTTATATGTCTTGTACTGATAAATAATTAAATAATAAATGTGGGACAAACATTTTAGAAAAAGAAAGAATGTAAAGGAGTAAAATTCATACTTTGAAATTTCAGCATGTGAAAGTATAATAGCATCTCGATCGATAGAAGACAATTTTCGAAAGCCTGTAAGCCTGAAAAAGACAATGTGAAAAACAAATTCTGAGCATTATATGAATTCCTATAGAGCAAACAATAACACCGTACACTCTATTACGCTTTCAATGCATACAAATAATCTGAGCATAGCCGGGAATGTTACTAGTCAAAGTCCTCATCTCTACCTGACCTACTCTCTCTATATATACTAATAAACTTCGTCAATAGCTCCAACGGGTTGATCGCTGAGGAAATCTCGGCACGGCATTTGCCAACTCACGCCATCTCCGGTTTAAACGTGATATCTGGCCGGCTGTCTGTCGACCAGAGGACGTGTGTACTGTTCATCAGTTCGCGCCCTCTTCCTTTATCGCTGTGAGTGAGACATTGCTGCCATTGAAAGTGAAAGACATGAAACACCTCGCCGACTGTCATTGATCATAGGTGTCTGCGTTCCATCTCCCATGTTAGGTGGTATAATAGGGTGAGTAATATTGAGGTAAAACTTCGGTTGAGTGCTAGGCATGGAGGGAAAGTCAATCAACGAGGTTGTGAAGCAGGTGCATCGATTGAGATGGCTAGGGGACATGTGTTACGCATGCATGTCTAGCCATCGATCGTCTTCCTCGACAATGGGCAATGTTAGCTGCCAACATAGGATCGATGAGGTTGGAAAAGAGCTAGTGGCGGACAAACGAAAACATGACTTCATCCGTCAATGAAATACACAACAGTTAGTTCAAGCCAGCCAGCCAGTCGGTCACGTAGGGAGGTGTTGACTACGTGACTGACTGGTTGGGGTCCTCGAGATAGCAGGATGGAACCAATGAAGGCTGGAGATAATTGGTGACATGACTGGAAGTGATAGTTCTCATTGGCTGGTGCACAGATGAATTCACGTTTTGTGATTTATCACATTCAATAGAACTCAATTGTTCTTCCGTATTACTGTTTTTTTCCCTCACTCACACTTCTGGTTATCTGTGTTTTGTAACTCTCTTTACTCTCTTCTCTTGCTTTGTGTACTAAATGGAGGGAGAGTGGCATCTGGAACTGCTGCCCATCTGTGCGAAGTTCTGTGTTGAAACCAGTCAGTCAGTCAATATATTTAGTACATAGGATAGATGAAACTAAAATAACTACAGAGACTTACACTAAAGCATGATACAGTGTGCTGCAAGATACATAATCTCCACAATGAATTCATCATCAGATTACAAGGAATACTGTATCATAATGTGGACTATACAGCCGAGAAGGCTGCATTACCGGACAGAATTCCTCCTAAAGCACTGAAAACATACCTCGAAACCACAGTGGATATGCTGACGCCGCTATGGCAAAGACTTTAGAAGCAAGGAAAGGTACCTACTGATTGGATGAAATACTATCTTGTGAAAATACCAAAGAACGGCGATTTACGCCTCTGGAAGAAACGGCGAGGAACAATACTCTTGTCCACACCAAGTAAAATATCAAGTAACATCATCCTAGAGGGAATGAAAGATGCACTTGATGCAAGACTCCGCCCACAACAAGCTGGATTTAGAAAAAGCAATTCATATGCAGATCAAATTGTAGCACCATATCTGTCTGTCTGTCTGTTTTCGACATAGAACTTTGCACATATGTGCGGTAGTTCAAGTCGCCACACTCCATGTAGCACACAAAGCAGGAGAAGAAATGCATAATATAGACAGTAAACAGAGGTGTGAGACAAAGGAATAGTAATAACGAAGAACAAAACAGTTTCATTGGAAATCATAAGTCACAAGGAGTGGATGCATCTGTGCCTGCCATTGAGAACGATTTTGAGCACCATGACGTATCATCATTGAGCAGAGCATAGAATGGTATTCAAATTTATCCCTTAACTACACCGAATTTGAAAGGCTTTCGACAGCGTTGACCGAGAAGTAATTTGGGAACTACTGCAACACTATGAAGTGACTCGAGTCTTTTTCAACCTCCTTCAACAGCTATATGACGATGCCACGTGTCAAGTGATTCAAAACGAAAAACTCAGAGTAGCTTTTGAAGTGAAGAGAGGAGTAAGATAAGACTGCTGATTGCTATCACCGATGATATTTCTAATCGTGGTGAAATGCGTTAGACTGTGCGTGGAAAGTGAGAAGACAGGCATACGTTGGACCGATAAGAAGACTGTAGAAGATATGGACTTGGCGGACGATTTATGTCTGATGTTACACAAACTCGAAGACTTACAGGAGAAAACCAACAAGTTTGAAGAAGAGGAAGGCAGAGAAGACAGAGGTGATGAAGATAACCAACAGCAACAACAACCAGTCAGCATCAACGCGAGAAATCTGAAATCTAGGCAGCATCCTTCCAGCTACAGGCAGTCGCGGCACGGATAAGGATGTCGAAAGGGGAATCGGAAAAGCACGACAGACCTTCATCACTCTGAAATCAGTTTGGAAATCTTCCGCGTTCAAAACGAATAAAATTTGAAGTTTCAACACCAGTGTTAGGACAGTTCTTCTACATGGCTTAGAGACTTTGAGTGTTACAAGAAGCATTTTGAACAGGCTTCAGACTTTTATCTGCTACTACCTACCTTCGATCCCTAGTGAAGACCAGGCGGCCCTAAAGAATTAGCAGCAAGGAACTCTGGGAATAAACTAACAGCAAGCCCATCGCTCAACAAATATGTAGAAGTAAGTGCAAATGGATCGGACACAAGCTGATGAGACCGCTTGGTGAGATCAGGTGCCAGGTCCTCGATTGGAACCCGAAAGGAGAACGAGTTGGGTGTTACTTCTAGGGTGATATGGGGTCAATCATATGAGGAGAAGGTGAGAGCCTGTGTACAACCGTGGGGCCAACTACAGAGGACTGAAAGAAACAGGACAAAGTGGAGATGTACTGTTGTAGCCCTATGTTACACTCGGAACCTAAAGGAATAAATACCACAAGCTGATATCCAAAAGTTCTCACAATCAGTGTATCCACAATCTATACTTACTTACTTTACTTTACTTCGGCTATCTCCTACGGGAGGATGAGCCGGCTTCATGAACATGAGTTCATGAAGTTTCATGGGAATTTGGTACGAGTTATGTCCCCAGAATCGCTCGGCCTTTTGTTTGAGAGTGCAGCTCTAGCCTTTACACAACCAAGTGTGACTTACAAGGCAGTAGGAGTGGAGTAGGGAGTCCACTATCCATTGGCAGCCGGTGACCGGAGTTCGGTTCATACGTCTTTTTGAATGGGGCCAGACATCCAGAACATCCAACAAGCCCTTTGTCCATACGTCTTCCGGTGAGCTCCAGTGAGCTTCATACGCCAGTCGTTGGAGGTTTGGAATCAGGGTTTAGCCATCTCCCCTAGACTGTCATCCAATGGACAGTCAACCCGGTGAAGAGCGCCGGGAATCCGCTTTCGCCCTCTCACTTTGGTGAAAAACACCTCCGCCACGTGAAGGCAGTGAGTAGGACTTCCTGAGGAGAGGCTATGTAAGACGCCCGGTCATATGGGAGCATTTCAAGAGGTGTGCGGAGGGGTGGCCAACCCGCAGCGCAAGGCACCCACCCCCGACCATCCTGAGGCTTTGGGGGCAATCTATACAAGCCATAATCATTACTTTCATGTGACCTAACAGATGAAGAAGCTACGTCGAGGCTAATTATGAAAATAACATACACAGGAATGCCAAAGAAATACACTACTTTGATTAGACACTAACTAGGTGATAACTAATGTCGTGGTGTCCAGTTGCTCGTCTGGTGGTACAGAGCAGACTACATTCTATCACAGTTAAGTTTGTAATGTAGCAACCATGTTAGGTGAGTTGCCGTCATTTCAGTGCACTGTTAATTGTTGTTATTAGAAGGTTGAAGGCAATTGGCAGGAAGCCTTGCAACGAAGAACTAGACGCATGACTTTAGTTACTAAGTAGTAGTAGCAGCAGTAGTGTCCAGCTAAAGTATCCATTACTGTCTTCAACAGAGGTCAATAGGGAGCCTAAATAACGTCTCTGACCGCAACACTGGGTAACCCGATTTTGAAACTCAGAAGGGTCATGAGTTCCTTCAAGCTTGTAGATACACCTTGCTGACTGGTGAGTGCCAACAAGTATGAGATCCAGGTGAGTCAATTGGGGCATTTTGCCGATTGACTCCAACCACTTAACAACAATTCACAAATACCCTACAACCCATCTCTACGGAAATTTACTATCAGACTCAAGGCATTAGAAATTCAAGTATTGGATTGTACGGATTTGATTGATTGATTACATGATTTCATCATGAGTTGACATTCGTTAGAGAGCCATTGGAAAACCTGAGATTACTGTACAGCCGTTTCGTCCCAGTCTGCTGGGACTCTTCATCAGTACGTACTCACCAAAGGGGTTCGAACCCAGGACCTTTTGGTTAAACGGTGAGCTCGTAGACCATTGAGCCATTGGGACCCGATCCAATGGCCCATGAATTCTAACTTCTGCCAATTCACGACACAGCGAGACCATTTGGCAATGTCTCCTTCGATGAGTAACTGTACTCACCTTCGGCCTGCTGGTCACGGCTTTCCACTAGAACCCCAGGTAACTACCTACCTGAATAGGGTCAGTCACTAGTGAGCATCTCATTGATTTTCAAGTATTGGTTTGTAGGGATTTGATTGATTAGTTACAGGATTTCATCGTGAGCTGACATCAGAAATTGTAAGACACCTCACAAACAAGGGATTATGAATGTGCACAATTGTACAGCAGATATGATGAGTTGAGCATCTGTACAGTATTTCAGCCTTTACAAGAACCATCGAAGAATAACTGAATTCAATACTCGCATAACTAATCAACTTTACTGAACCCAAAACTTTAACGTCAAAGGAACTCAAGTGTTGGTGTTGCAAGGGTTGATTGGTCACAGGAGTGAGATCATGAGCTGACATCAGTTAGAGAACCATGGGAGTAATGAATAGCTGTTTTGTACTAGTTTCGGACTCCCCACCAGTACGTACCCATCGCCAGGATTTGAACTCAAGAGCCTCCAGTCACCAGGCAAGCTCGTAGACCATGAAGCCACTGGGACCCAACCAAATGGGTCCATGAATTCCAACTTGCGCCAATTCGTGATAAATATCTGGCGCAACCGCGAGTAACTGTCTTCTAGTGTGACTTGGTGGACCCTACTGGTTACGACTTCTCATTAAACCCCAGGTAACTTAGTGTATTGAACGGGTGGGGGTGGGTCCGTACTGTTGAAGAGTCCTGAAACAGGACGAAACAGTCTTCCAGTACTCCCATGGTTCTGTAACTGATGTCAGGTAGTAATTAATCCCATATTATTAGCTTTGAATTTGCAATAGCTAGTAAACACACTACAAACACAAAACTAACATGACTTTTAATGTATATATACATATATATCATGAAATTTGTATTTTGAATACAGGTTACACTATAAAGAAAGTAACTTACTGTGATATATCTTCAAGACATTCATTACTTTTCAGGAAACAAGATAGATGACACGCAAACGTAGCCTTCTTACCAGACTCACATATTGTATGACGTTCCTGTAAAATTAAACGAATTAAAGAAACGAATACGAGTGTTTGTGCGTGTGAAATGTAGAACATAATTAGTACATCACTAATAAATGATACTAACACATGAGTTCATCAACTGTTGACTGAGGAGTGCTCTTGCCAGTCTGCGTCGATTGAGATGGTTAAGACACGTGTTACCCATGCTGAGCTACTGAATTCCTCGACGAGAAAATGTTAGCTGACATAGGATTATATTGAATAAAAGAGTTAATGGTCTGTCTGTCTGTCTATCTGTTTTCGACATAGAACTTTGCAAATATGTGCGGCAGTTCGAGTCGCCACACTTCATGTAGCACACAAAGTAAGAGAAGAAAGTAGAAGAAATCCGTAATAGAGACAGTAAGTTGAGGTATGAGACAAAGGAGTAGTAATAAGGAAGAACATTATAGTTTAATTGGAAATTATAAGTCACAAGGAGTGGATGCATCTGCGCTAGCCATTGGGAACGATGAGTTTGAGCCATGTCACCAATTGTTTCCAACCATTGGTTTTCACCGTCCCTAGGACCCCAACCAGTCAGGAGGTCTACACCTTCCTACGTGGCTTAAACTAACTGTTGTAGATTTCATTGACTGGTGCCATGTTTTGGTTTAACCGCCTCTAGCTCTTTTCCAACCTGACCCTATGTCAGTCAGCTAACATTGCCCATTGTCGAGGAAGGCGATGACTAGGCATACGTAACACATATCCTAACCATCTCAATCGATGTAATTTCAGTCTCGTCGATTGATTTCCGCTCCTTACCTAGCACTCGACGCCTAACCTCAATATTTTTCACCTTATAATACCACTTCACATGGGAGATAGAACGCAGACACCTATGATCAAAGACAGCTACTCTTTTCATGTCTTCCGCTCTCAATGGCCAGGTCTCACAGCCATAAAGGAGGACGGAGCGGTGGTCAGATCGATACCTGATATCATCACATCAAGTCTTTGACTATTGATTTAAGCCACATATAGAAGTGTAGACTGGCAGGCAGGCAGTCTGGGTTCCCCCACAAGCCAAGAACCAATCGCTTAAGACTGATGGTGATATAACTCAAAGGCGCGGATGCATTCGGTCTTTCTCGTCTCCTAAATCTATTAAGTCTGCATATTTATCCACAGTAAATCATGCTGTTTCATTGTAATATATTCGATTGGAAAAAAATATTAATTTGGAATTACATACTACCACAGTTTTACACGCACATATTAACTGTGAGTACATGATTTCGTTCTTTAATTTGACTTCACAAAACGCCTTTTTGTACAGTCGAATTTCACACCCATTTCAACAACAAAGAATGGCATCAAGCACGTGAACTACTTAAATCTTAACAGCATCATAAAAGTAGGTAGGTTACAGTAAAATTCACTTCTCAATTCTGAACTGTTTAATAGTATTGACAAATATACATCCCCTTCTGATAACCTATAATACAACAATGTTATTCAACAACTAATTGCGACTCGATACATTTGGCGATGAGCTACACCAGTTGTGTGGGGGTTATTGACTATTGAGGCTGTCCAAACAGCAATAGTGATGGGGCATGGTTTCAACTCGTGATTTGCTTTATTCCAAAACAGTACATGTGATACAGAATGGAATTCTCAGCATTTTTACTACAGTATTGCATCCAGTTAGTACATTATCAATAAATAGAATTCTACATAGATTAAGGAAACCACAGTTCATTATTACAACAATACATTGGCATGTCGGTAGCAAAGGTAAAGCTGAAACAGTGTTTGAAGGTGTTAGAAAAGTGGGAGCTGTCTTATTAACTGGCGTAAGCGAGAGAAAGGAACAAAGCAGCACACAACAGGAAAAGAAGAGAGAGAAAAGGAAAAGAAAGAAAGAAAATGTTGTACCTATTGATGATGTGAGTTGGAAAGACGAGATCCAGTTGTACTACTGACTATTTAATGAATTATAGGTCTGACGCCTAATGCTTTCTTTATCACACAGAACACGAGCTAAGTAGGGTATGGTTGAGTTTTTGTACTTGCTGGTGCGAGCATATAGTTTCCTATATAGGCTTCTGGTTTTACCTGATGAGATGCAAGGGGAGAGTTGTGAGTGAAGAGGGTGGTGTGAGTTAGATAAAATGGACTTGGCCCATTTTTCACATGAGTCCATGTGCCTGTCGACCAGAATATTAACAAGCTGGCTAAGTGGCACGTTGCTTACCACTATTATTATTATTATTTCCTTTAATTCCTAGAGGAAGATAGGACTTCAGCTGCACGTCTCCATTGCGTTCGGTTCTCTGCTAAATTTTTCACCTGGTTCCAAGTCTGCCCACATGCTCTCATCTGCTCTTCACTTGACCTCCTCCAAGTCACCCTTGCACTGACGACCAACTCGCCGCTTCCCTTTTGGGTTCCACTCGAGCAATGGCTTGTCTAGTGATGTCACTTGATGGTTCCCTTAGAGTATGGCCAATCCACCTCCATTTCTTCCTGCTTATTTGTTGCACAATTGGTTCCTGGTGGGTTGGTTCGCTCATTGCCAGATATCCCTCCATGTTGCTGATCTTTTCTTGAGTAGTATTGAGCGAAGACAGCTGTTGATGAAGGTCTGTAGTTTGTTTGAGGTGCTCTTTATGACACGGCAAGTCTCTGATCCGTATAGTAGCACTGACTGACTTAACATTGGAATTGAAAATCCGGATCTTATTTTTCATGCTGAGTGCAGACGTTAATAGCATAAAATTAATGATCCGCAGCTTCGCGATAACCACGACAAAATTACCTGATCCTTCCTTTATATATAACTGCGAATAGAGAGACAACCACAAAAGTGGAGACGAAAAATTCTCAATAGGCATTAATACTTACCTGTATTAGTGGCTTTTCACAATGACTACACGGTAAATCACTATCCGATAATTTCACAGTAAATTTACGAGTAGAAGCTTTGGGAGAAGATAGTCCTGCTCCTACGCCTCCACCAACACCACCAGCAATTGCTTTTCTAATCTTTTCTTGATCTTCCCATCGAATAGAGTCAAAGTGTTTAATCTCTGCGGTGCTTTCAATAGGCGATTTTCCTCCCCAAAAACAATGATAATGAAACCATCTGGGAATTTTTCCATCGAAATTTGGTGCTTGTACAAGTCTTGCAATACGTAAAGAATTTTGATCAATTTCAATCTTGCATTTATTACATCTGGATCGATTGCTTTTGGCATATTCCACTTGGAATTTGTATTCCACTTGCATGATTAAAGACTTTTACATATACCCTGAAAAAAAGAAAATACGGATACAATAACAGGTCTAATTTCTTATAAGGAGGAATATGAAAAATATGCCCTTTCAATCCTTAATTTAAAATACTACTACTATTACATGGGAGAGAAAACACACTGATCGAAATGATACTGAAATGAGCATAAATAATTGGAGGATGGTGACTGACTAGCAGTGGAATCCAGGATGACGCGCATTTCGTCCTATTTGGGACTCTTCATCTGGATGTGCCTGCATTCACCAGTGACTGAAGATGTCCCCACCAGATAACGAGTCCCAAATAGAACGAAATGCGCGTTGTCCTGGATTCCACTGCTAGTCAGTCACTATCCAATTAAATTCTCGTTACATGCCCAGACATCGTCGAAGCATCTGCACAAGAAGCCGACAGACATGTCAACCTGCGAAAGAGCACTTCGGTCCAATCAATCGACGGGAAAATCTAAAATTCAATTAAATGAGCATAAATAAGTAAAAAGTGATGCTCCGGAAAAGCAAATCATGTGTAGATCAAATTGTAACGTAACGACGCATTATAGGACAGAGCATAGAATGGCAGTCGAATCTCTATCTCGACTTCATTAACTATGAAAACACTTTAGACAGTGTAAAACCCATGAAACCATTCGGGAACTGCTTTAACGCTATTGAGTGCCCGAAAAACTTTGTAAATCACGCTTAACAGTTTTATGATGGTACCACATGCCAAGTGAATCACAACCGAAATCTCTGTGAAGATTTTGAAGTGAATACAGAAGTAATACAAGGCTGCCGCCTACTATCATTACATTATGCAACAGACTGTGGGGAGCGAGAAGATGGGAGTGCATCGGACATAAGATCTTAAAAGATGTAGACTTCACGGAGTTATGCCAAATATCACAAATCCAAAGATCTACTGGAGAAGACCAACGAGCTGATGGAAGAAAGAGCGAAGAAGTTACTTCAAGTGGACATAGGACACAGTTGGTAAAGATAACTAACCATCAACAAATGCCAATCACTGTTAAAAGGAGAAATCCAAATGAAGTGACCTCTTTCACTTGTCTCTATGCAGCATCATTTCAGCTGAAGGTGGTACAGATGAGGATATCAAAGCTAGCAAGGATCGGAAAGGCAAAACTAACCTTCACCAATCTGAAATGAGTACGAAAATTCACTGCACCCGGCATACAGAACAAGATTCGGGTTTTCAACACCAATATCATGTCAGTCAGTGCTCCTACATATATGGTTCACACACTTGGCGCATCAGAAAAAGCACTTCCATCAGGCTACTGCAGAATTTAATCAACAGCTGTCTTTGCTAGCTATCTCCACAATGAAGGTCAGACGACCATCCAGGAAGGACTAATAACAAAGAACTCTGGGAACAAAACAACCAAGAAATGTAAACAAATTGAAAACAAGGTCAGGAAACTGTTGAGTCACCACATACACCAGACTGGTATTCTGCTGGGACCCAACTGGGAGAGGACAAGTTGAGTGCCCCTATTGTCATGGAGGATATTGTGTGAGGATGGGATTTAATCTTATGGACAGCCGTCGAGCCAACTAGAGAGGATAACAGAGAACCAAGCGAAGTGGAGATGTGTGGAGTCTGGAATAATATGACTGTACAGATTCTGTTAGATGCTAAAAATAGAAACACTGTAAGTGACTTTTGCTGAAAACGAATCATAGTAAAATGCACAAAACATCAGAGTACAACCTAAAATACAGTGTGCTGCTCGAGGCTTCATCTTCCAGTTGGTTCATACGGTGTGAATGCTTCGCTACTAACCATGTTGTATTCTTTGGATTTTGAAGGAACCTCTCATATTCATCCGAAGACTGTTCTACAACCGCTGCGCAGCTTCTATAACTAAACACGACTCCAGCAGTGAACAATACCTTGGATTATATTCATAATTTGTATCAGCGAACTTTAACTGTGCCACTAATTAATTTTTTTATTCCTTCACGTTCCCAGTGGAACATAGGGCTTCAAGCTAGAGGCTTGAAGTTTCTGTAGCAGTGTTTTATTTTACAGGATGTGGTTGCTAGCCTCATGCCCAACCTTTCCTCTTCACCAGCTTTAGTTCTGGCTTAGCGAGGTAAAGGAGAACCACTAATTAATACAACGCGTTAACTGCACTTTTTTGTAATATATATATACTGTTACACTATCATTTTATTAACTTGAATTTTTATTTTAATATTCAGCCCGTTACACAGCTCGCTATAAAGTCCTCTAATCTTCTACACATGTGTTGTTTAAGTTTTACTCTCCACTTGGAACCCAAGGAAGTATCACGGTTAGAAATCAACTGGTTGCGTACGATTCTGATGTGAGAAATCCACCATACGAAGTAAGAGTTACCAGTTTGAATCTCTTCTCCCGCACATACTGCAGGCAAAGTGAATCCACTTAACGTTTACAGTTCCAAAATATGACTGCAGACCTTTAAAGGTTCGGACAAGCAAAATAAACTCATTAGAAAAGGATTAACGTGTGCATCCCAGCCAGCATTTTTTAGGGTGCATTGCAGAACTGTAGGGGCAAAAATCTTCGGGCGTACAGACTAACGTGGGACAGATGTATTGCAGTACACATATGTGTTGCAATACATCTGAAATTTGATCAGACTGGAATCCACTGGTACATAGTCACTGGTACCAGTCACTTTATTTAAGAAGAACAAATGAATATAGCAAACACAAGAGATTTAATCAGAACGCGTGTTCGGCAAAAACATGTGCTGCGTACAATTCCAAAGACTTGAATGCGCATGCGCAGCTATTTTTCCTTCGTTCTTATCAAGTCTAGGTGGCTATTGACCCTCTTGAGTCACAGAGTTGACTCTTGTGCCCTTTTCTGAAACAATAGTACTTACTGCCACACCTACGTATGATGCTAAGCTGTTGTTTGTCGGAATTTTAAATTGGCCCGTCAAATGACCTTCAGCGTCGAGGGTAGTTTCACTTCCAATATTAGACATCCAACGCCACTTTTATGAACCGTTACAAAGTGAATTGATATCTCCACATCTCTTGGCGTTGTGGTCACTTTTTCTGAATTTTTAGAATTTCCAAGCAGTTCATTAGACTCTGAGAGGGAACGAATTTCGGCTAAATGTGATGGGTAGTTTGTAGTCTGTATTCAGACCATGACACCTCTTTGTGTCGTTCCATACAGTCTAGTAAAATGTAACAAATACAGTAACAGCAAATAAATTTTCAAAGAGGCTAAATAAACAAAGAGGGCGGACAGAAGGATTAGACAGAAAAGACTGGAGATGTTAGGAAATTATTGGTTTGAGCTTACTTGAAAATCATTGTTACGGAGCATTATATGAGGTGTAAGACTTGATTCAGTCATCTTTCTGGTCAACTTGAAATTGCCTTTTTCCGCATTATGGTTATTCTGCCACGGGTGGTGCAATACACACAGCTGGTGGTGATTCATTTAGAGAGGACTGTGGGTCGGTGGTTCAGGGGTTAAGACTCTCGCCAACCATGCACATGGTCCGTGGTTCGATCCTCTGCCAATGCACACCTGATATCGATTGGTATGCCTGCAAAATTTAGTCTGCCGCTGCCACATGCTGAAAATGCCATACTCGTACCAAAAACACGGTGTAGAATCAAGGTATAAAAGAACTTAATATAAGTGAAAGTGCAGTTGAGTTTTAGGCACTTGGAAGTGATCTCCCATGTACAGCCGCTAGAGTCCTGATAATGAAACGACGACATTGTCAATATTTGTCAATAGCTCGTGAATGATGATTATTAAAGAATATGAATTCATAGGCGATAGATATATCTTACAGCTTCCATCGCTAAAATGATAAAACATAAATTGCGCTCCTTGCACTCGACCTTCCCTCCATCATTTCCTCCGCCTACTGTTACTTTTTCTTTGTTTGTTCTGTTAGTAAACACTAGACAAGAGACTAAGTTGCGGACAGAAAATTCTCATTTGATTTAACATGTAGATTTAATGCTGGCAGTTGACTTGGTTCTGCGAACAAAACTATATCCAGAAAAGGATGGGCGCTATATTTTTCGAAGTGGAGGACTCTAATACACATTTGAATTACGGATTATTTATTTAGGTCTTAAAGAGTATCTGTGATAAACTCTACTTACGGTCCACTTCTATTGGTGGTGTTCTGCTTCCTACATTTGAAGTACTGGCAAATACGGAGTAGATACTGACAGCAGATAAGTTAGTTTCTCTTGTTTCACTTGCGGCAACGCTTAATTGATCCTCATATATTTCGTGGGTGTAAAAATGTGTGTGATCAACAATGAAGGAACAAAGAATACTGTTTCCGACAACTTCATCATCAGGCTCTACAGTTATATATACATTATAGTGAATGAATGAATTGGTGCTATGAACAACATTAATGTTGTTTAAATAACATCGAATCAATAATATCGATAGATTGCAGTTCAGTAGCATCAACATAAAATAAGCTGAATGTCAGAAAAGTTAGGAAAGACGGTATTACAAATTTACGAATTCATAGTATCTACTGAAGGCCAGGGCAGTAGTAGGGTCTGCACTTGTTTCTTTTGAACACATAGCACTGGTTGTTTGAGGCGAATTGCAATAGCCTCTGCTGTTTGCAGCATGTGGTGCTTCGATGATTTTGGCAACTGATTATTATTATTTATTATTAGTATCCATTCTTTTGAAAATGTTAATGGGCATTTTCAATCAGTTAGAATGTTGTGAGCAGCCTGTAGCGTTGAAGGCTCTCAATGAGTATCTGAAGTACAACGCTAAGCTCAATGAAACAAAGGCTACATTGGACTTCATTAACAATAGCATCGAGTCAAATCATTATCCTAAAGTTTATTACAAGTCTATACGTCGAATCAGGGTTCATCCCAATAGGAAGACGCTGAAACGATATGCATTAAACCAAACAGACTCTTTATCTACATACATTGAGGAGAATGAAATGAATATCTTTCTCAGACAATAAGTGGTAGATGAACTGCCAGAAGATCTTGGAACGCCTTTTATGGAATACATTTCTCAAGTTAGCGGACGAAGAGCACAGAAGAAGCAGATAGAGCTTATGAAAGGACTTGAGAGGAAGCCAGAAGGTGGTAAATCTCCAGCAGATCCTAAAAAGTACGTCTACAATAATAGTAGTGTTGAAATAAATGAGGTGCAACTTGAAGTACTTTCCCTTGGCCTTCGATTTTGCGATATACCGAAACGAGTTAATCACTTAGGTACTGATATTGGATTTGAAAACCTATTTAGTCAAACAAGGGATCTAGTTCCATCATCCAACTTGGAACTAGAACGCTTCAAATCCAGTCTAGTGGATTGTTGTCATCAGTACAAAAGCCTCAAATACGACAGTAAACGTTTCTTGGCAAGGGAGCACAGAGAAGAACTACAGAAACTGATAAACGATAAGAGACTGATAATCACAAAGCCTGATAAAAGATCAGGATAGTCTTCCTTGACAGAAGTGACTATATTGAAAAGATAAATGATACATTGAAAGACACACAGAAGTTTCAAAAACTTGAGGAGAAGAAAGATTTCAGTAACAAAATAGAGAATGAACTAGCCAGAAGTTTGAAGGAACTAAGGGAGGAGCATATATTTTCCGAAAGTTTATATGAAGAAGTCAAACCAACGGGCACACATACGCCAAGATTGAATGGCCTACCTAAACTACATAAACCGGGGGTACCGTTAAGACCAATAAGTGATATGCAAAATTCTCCCTACCATGCCCTAGCTAGATGGTTAGTAAATATTCTCAAACCTTTGCATGAGAGGATAGTGAAATATAGCGTCAAAGATGTATTTGAATTCGTAGGCAAAATCAATGATATTAATATCAAGGACAAAAAAATGGTATCTCTAGACATAACATCTTTACTCACAAATGTACCTCTTGTAGAGACAGTTAACTATATATGTGAACAAATGGATAACTAGTCGATAAACATTGTCATCCGTACGGAAATCCTAAAAGAATTGTTATTAAGGTGTACTATGAATGTAAATTTCAAATTTGACGGCACGCTTTACAGGTAAGTGGACGGGGTGGCGATGGGCTCCACATTGGGTCCCATTTTGGCTGATTTCTTTCTAAGTTAGCTAGAAAACGGACCTTTGAACAACCTTATCAGAAAGTTCTCATTTTATTGCCGGAATATGGATGACACCTTCACTCTTTGTGATAATGATTCCGATAGGAGTACAATGAAGCACATTCGGCTATGAAATTCACGTGCGAAGAGGAATCCCCAAAAAGAATTGCCTTCCTGGATGTACTCCTTACAAGAAAACCAGATGGTAGCGTAAAAATAAATTTGCATAGAAAAAGCACTTGGACAGGACAATATACACATTTTCACAGCCTCATTCCTCTCAAGTACAAAAGCAATTTAGTAAAGACCCTCAGCCACAGAGTTAGAGCTATATGCTCAGAAGAGGTAACTGAAGATGAATTAAACATTGTATATGATACTTTGATCGAAAATAGCTATCCCGAAAAGTTTATAGAGAAACAGATGACAAAGAAAACGGAAAAGGACTACTCACTATCCTTAAACAAGGAGCCTCTTTATATATGACTACAATTCAAGGGCGATACACCAAGTAAAATATTTATGAAGAAATTAATGAAATCAGTTCAAAGAACCTTCAACGCTGGCGAGCTACACGTATTATTCTCTACACGACCAATGGCGATGATTCCTCGACTGAAAGATGAAGTACCTAGACTAACCACTCCCAACTGTATCTACCAATTCAAATGCGCTTGTGGAGCGAGTTATATCGGCAGTTGCTCTAGGAACTAGATTTTTTGTGCTCACTCGAGAACATCTCCCAGTATGGCTAAGCAAAGGTGTAGTTAAAACCATTAACAGTTCGATGCTGGACCATCCGGTGCAAACCGGCCACAAAGCCAGCGTGGAAGAATCCTTCTCTATAATCCACCGGGTGCCAAATAAATTGCCAAAATCATCGAAGCACCACATGCTGCAAACAGCAGAGGCTATTGCAATTCGCCTCAAACAACCAGTGCTATGTGTTCAAAAGAAACAAGTGCAGACCCTACTACTGCCCTGGCCTTCAGTAGATACTATGAATTCGTAAATTTGTAATACCGTCTTTCCTAACTTTTCTGACATTCAGCTTATTTTATGTTGATGCTATTGAACTGCAATCTATCGATATTATTGATTCGATGTTATTTAAACAACATTAATGTTGTTCATAGCACCAATTCATTCATTAACTATAATGTATATATAACTGTAGAGCCTGATGATGAAGTTGTCGGAAACAGTATTCTTTGTTCAGCATCCATTCTTCTGAAAATTTTAATGCGCATTTTTAACCGGTTAAACTGAGGGAGCGGTTGATTAAAGAAGCGAAGATGCGGTGATCAGATGGTAATAGGAACGGGAGAGATCCAGGACTGAGCCTCTGGCTTCCAGACCATTCAAGAATTATAGCAATTAAGTGTATTTCATTCGGCTTAAAGAGAGAGCTGGTTCTTCAATTGTGGCACTTGAAGCTATAGCAGTCGTTTGATACATCTGGAATTCACGGACGGAATTTTGTGAGGTGATGTAAGGGCCTTACAGTTTTTCGATAGTTCGGAGTCCTTGTGAGTGTGATTCACAGCAAACGGATATTCCTCCTAGATCAGAAACCGCACATAACGCTTTGTACTCCTTGATTTTTTCATTAAATATCAGTGCATGTCTCCTCTCATGTAATCCTAGTGGGGCAAAAACTGAAAATATTGGACTTTCAAGACAGTGATAGGACTATCTGAGCCATTTAGCAACTCACAATGGATGACATAGATGACATCCAGCCTCAAACGAGTTTTGTTACTGATACAAAAGGCCATCTCTCAAGAATCAATAAGCTGAAGGTGAATGCATCGCCCGGTAAATACCTCAAGTTTCAGAATACCGATGTGGCCTATTTACGTGTGAA